CTTGTTTCTTTCTCCTTGTCTGACTTTTCTTTCCCTACTAGTTATAATTTATGAGTATAAAATTTTATATTTTTCTCCCAGTATCATCATAATAGATGTGGTTTATCATGTTGCTCTTGACCACAGTGTGTATGAAAAATCTACCTTTATATAGATCATCATCTGTATTTTTTTTCCTGTATTTGAGATGATTTCTTAAGGATAGAGCTTCCAAAATGAATCAAAGAAAAAGAAAATCTGTAAAACATACTGTTTTAGAAGAATTTTTCCAGTTTATATTGGCAGTCCGAGCTCACCCTATAGTATTCCCTTTGCTGCAGTAGCTTCTGGGAGGGATACTTAGGTAAGGAAAGCCCTGGGCCCTCATCTCAGTCTTAGGACATTGTGCAAATTTGGGCTCAGTACTTCAACTTTCTCATCTATAAAATGAAAATGTAGATGAACATTTAAGACCCTTTGTATTTCTATGTTATGAGTCCTGTATTTCTGTGTATAGGTTAGGCATAACAGTTGGTGGTGGCCTGAGATAGTATTAGAGGCTTGCACTTCATTGGCAGAATGAGCTGCCCTAATATTTTTAGGTCCCTTTCTTTTTCGTTAGCATTGAGAAGTTCTGTGCAGAAGGCATCTCGCTGCTGGGAATTCTGGTCCAGTCAAGGCATTTGAGAGCAGTGGTCCATGTCCTGGATAAGATCCTACCTTTGTTCTACCCTTGCCAGTATTACCTCCTGAAGAATGAGCAGTAAGTAAATTTGTTCTGTCTGTGGCAGGAGTCATTCATTTTTAATTATGTATATTTGTGTGTGTGTCTGTGTAGGTATATATGTGCATGAGTGCAGGTGCCCTTGGAAGTTAGAAGAGGGTATCAGATCCCTTGGAGCTGGAGTTACAGGTGCTTGTAAGCTACATCACATGGGTACTGAGAAACCAACTTGGGTCCTTTGCAAGATCAATACGTGTTCTTTATTGTTGAAGAACCCCCAACAGTATATTTTTTATGAGGCACCCAGTTTAGAATGTGGTTGATGAAGTGTTTAGATTAATAATTACAGTTTTATTATTGTAAAAGTATTTCCCATATCATTTAGTTTGGAATTGTGTATAAAGCCCATTAGTATTTGAAAGAACAGTTACTTCCCTGAGACTCTGGTAATAGTGCTCCTGACATTGAGCAGCAATTATAACAATAGCAAAACATGTTGTTTTATGTGGCCTCTGGTGTGTGTGCATAGTGTGGTGTTGTGGACAGATAAGATGCATAGAAGGGAAGAAGAGATAACCTGTTGAGGGAGCAGGGAGTTGAGCATCTGCCTGGGGGTTCATGAAGAGTGATAAAAAATGGGTGAGGCCCAGTAGTGATGGAGCAGGTAGTACATATAAGGCATAAGAGTGGCATCTGTTTTCCTGTTGAGTGTCTTCATTCATTATGTTTTAGACTTGCTTAGTGATGAGAATTATCTGAGGGGGCTTATTAACTATACATTCCCAGACTCCTTTGGATATTTAATTTTAGTAGGGAAGGTTAGGGCCTGGGAACTCTTTTAAAAATTTGAAAACTAACATCTTGAAGGGGCTGGAGAGATGGATCAGTGGTTAAGTATACTGGCTGCTCATGCAGAGAACCAAGGTTCAGTTCCCAACGTCTGTGTGGCAGCTAACAACTGTCCTTAACTCCAGTTCCAGGTTATCTGGTGCCCTCTTCTGGCCTCCATAGACTTGCATGACACAGGTGTACTTATATACATACAAACAAAATACTCCAGCATACAATTTTAAAACGACCACCCTGAGCACTTTGGGAAGTTTTGGAAATGAATAACTTGGAAAAATCTTTGCTTTTTTTAGAAGTGGAGTTGTGGAGGGGATAGTGGTGTTTTAGGGTATTTTCTTCTAGTGCCCTTTAACGTGTGTGTATTGGATCTGTTCATTACAGTACTGTAGATAGATAGGATTCCTTTTAACTCACATTAAATATGGAGACTTTATTCTTCTGAAATTCCTGAAGATTTATAAGAATCTCTTAAGTAGCATGTTGGTCTAAAAACAGAACCAATTTAACATTTTTTATGTTTTCTCCTAAGTAATTACCAGATGACAGGAAAAGAAAAACTGAGGATATGGCTCAGTGGTAGGGCACTTGTTTAGCATGCATGGGGCTCTAGGTTCAATCCTCAGACACTACCCTTCTTTACCTCCACCAAAAAGTCAGATGTGATGGTGCATGCCTTTAATCCAAGCACTTGGGAAGTGGATGCAGGAGGATCTGGTGTTTAAGGACAGCTGATAGTCCTGTCAGCTCCTGATGGGAAGGTAAGACATGTGATCCTGTGTGCTCTACAGGTTTTTGTCGCACCTCCTCCTCTTCCTACACTTGGATAGTGGTGTACCTCAGGGTGTCACACAGCAAGTCACCCACAAGGTGGCGCAACATCTGACAGGAGCCAGCCATAGGGACAACGTGAAGCTTCTCAACAGCATGATCCAGGTCGGGGCCCTTACAAACCTGAATACACTCTCACTCTTCCTCCCCACAGAATCTGTGGTGTTAAGTCTTTTTGATATGGGCATTCTAATTACTTGGTACAGTATTTTTAACAAGGAAGGCTAACAGATTTGGGCTTTTGTGGAGATAGATAGTATTTTGTAGGTGTTTTAAGGTAGGAACTGTTCAAGTCACCTGAGCTGCTTCTTCACAGGCACACATATCTGTAAGCACTCAACCTAATGAAGTAGGTCCTGAGGCTGTGCTGGAGTTCTGGGTTCAGGCTCTCATAAGCCAGCATCTCTGGTACCGAGAACAACCCATCCTCTTCCTCATGGATCACTTGTGCAAAACAGCTTTTCAGCTGATGCAGGAAGATTGTGTGCAGAAATTACTCTACCAGCAGCACAAGGTAAGTATAAGAGAATTTATGTTTCAGTCATTGACTAGACACTGGCTTCTAAAAAGGTCTCCTATGCCTAGGTCCTGGTATTATTCTGTGGCCACTAATTTTTTTTAAAACTTTGCCTCAATGTTGTTTTATCTCAGTAACATTGTCATTGGCACAGATCCTAGGGAAAGTATCACAGAGGACACTTGGGAAGGGCCCTGTAGTGCTCATCACAGTCCCCTGCAGTGCACTGTCTGGGACTGCTGGTGCTGATGGACTCAATCTTGAAATCTGTGTTTTTTCACTTAGCATATATTCTTTGTCATGGGATTCATGATGATACTTTCATACATGTATGTCATACACTTTGCTCACGCCTGGACAGGTTCACTACTGAATTCTTCCAGACCTTTAAAGAAGAACTAGCTCCACTGTTCTTCTGAATGTTCTGGAAAATAAAAAGAGGAGTGTTACCAAACTCATCTGTGTCTCAGTTTTACCTTGCTATCCAAAGGAAATAAGAACAGAACAAGAAAGAAAATCATAGATCCTTTTCTCTGATGAACATAGACACAAAAATTTTCAATAAAATACTTGCAAACTGAATTTAGTAATACATTAAAATGATCATACATCATGAAATCTTTGTCTTATTGGAATCTTCCAATGTCGAGAAACTATTGCTAATACTCTTGGAAGAGTCAATGATAAGGTTTTTTTCAAAGCCTCCTCTCTGCTGCTCTTCTCTCTGATGTAGAATGCTTTAGGTTACCACTGTGACCGGAGTCTGCTTTCTTCCTTGGTGAGCTGGATCGTAGCAGGCAACATTACTCCTTCCTTCATAGAGGGCTTGGCCATGCCCACTCAGGTATGAAGCCTGCTGGGGACCATTTGTGACCTTTGGGAATTTTAATATTGTTACCATTTTTACTAATACATTACTAATAGCCTATAATAATTCACGTTTGTTTAACATTACTATATGTAAATGTACTTAAAATTTTTTAAATTGTCACAACAGTGCTCTGTGACCCACCATTTCTGTTTTATGGAGCATTGAACTGAGGTTAGGTCAGGCTGAGTGCAGAGAGGTTAAGAGTGGGTGTTGGGGCCAGGTAGCCTGGCTTTCAGTCTTGATTCTGTCATTTGCTAGCATGTGCGTTGGGCAGCTTGCTTATGTCTGTTCCTCAGTTTCCTCCTTGTCAGATGATACATTTTGATTCTGGGGTCTTTACAATATCCTCACAGCAGAAAACTGGGCCACATATCTTGTTGCCAAGGAGGTTGAAGTATCAGCACCTATGTGTAAAGCACTTACAACAGAGCTTAATACAGTTAGTACTCACTAAGTTTTGGGCCTTTTCATTGTCATCATTAGCAGCAGCAGCATTTATTTTCCTTAGTACTGCCAACTCTCAGACTGTATAAAGTCATTTCTCTGCTTCGTCCCTCAAGCCAGTACTAATGTTCTTCAGCTAATCAGCTTGTCTTCCTGGTCTTCTGTGTCTGAGCTGATACCAGCTTCTTGCTGTTAACCTGACTAATGCCTCCCTCTCCACCTCTGTGTTTCTACCTTGCTGAGTCTCTGAAGATCTGTCTTTCCTGATGAGCTCTAGAGCATTCTCTGATGTAGCCCTCTGCCTCCAGTGCTCCTCACTACTGCTCCCTTCACCTTCATAATTGATAGGTAAAGTAGGCGATGGATGAATCCAGTTGATCGGGAGAAAGCATCAGGACACAGATAAAACTCCAGCGAAATAGAGTTTATTGGCAAAGGAACATGTGGGACAGATTCTCTTCTGGGCAGAGAAAATGTCTGCCTGGGCCTTGAGCTAGGGTCTTTTATAGGGAGGCTTCTGGGGGGTGCAGAAGGCAGGAAGATACATTTTTTTAAAAGTTAGGCAGGGGGAAGCGGGAGAGTGGGACTGTTAAAACCTGCTCCCTTCTGTCTGTCAGCCAGGTTCTGGGAAATGAGGGGATCCCGGTAGGAGAGTTCCTGAAGAGTTTCCGAGCACGAGTGAGTGAGTGAGCGGTTCACTGGAAGGGAGGTGGGAAGCTGGATTGAGAGGAGGGAAGGAATCAAAGGAGAGCAAGGGGTTTTCAAGAAACATAACATGGAAGAGTTGTAGTTTAGAGGGAGCTAGATTGGCAAGAGATGTGTGGGTTACTTAAGCTGGTGGGGGGAAAGGACAGAGATGGGCTGACCCAAAGTAAGCTTAAGTCTCTCTTGAGCCAGGAGAGTGGTAGTGGCCAGAGCACAGACAAGGTTGCCAGTCCCAGATGGTGGTATTAAGCTGTTCAGAGAGAAGCTATTGGGACAAAAGTGGGACCCCTCATCTGTCCCAAAACCCCTAATGCCTGGTCCTTATTTTTAGTTGTATAGAGGAGGAATGGACATTTGAGGTTGGGAAGAGGTAGAACCAGTGACTTTTTAAGAGTGTTTATAGTTGTGGAAGGCTGTTGTAATGGGCCCTAAGGGGTCAACAATGGGCCCTAAGGGGTCAACAGACTCGGGAATTCCTTTGGAAGCTTCGTAGAGCAGCTTTGTAAAGAGGGCAAAGTTAGGAATCCAGGTGCGCAGGTACCCTGCAATGTCTAAGAAAGACATAATTTCCTCTTTGGTTGTGGCCAGAAATGGTGGGCTGTAGGCGTGAGAAGGAACCCCAAGTACTTGACCTGAGGGAAAGAAAGGTGAGTCTTAGCTGAAGATATCCTATATCCTTTGTCCCCCAGAAAATTAAGGAGTTTGATTGTGTGGGCCTTGGAGACTGAGAGAGATGGAGAGCAAAGAAGTAGGTTATCTACATATTGTAGGATGGTGGAGGGGTTAAGGTCTAGGGAAGTTAAATCCCGGGCTGGGCTTGTTCAAAGTGGTGAGGGCTATCTCGAAACACATTGGGCAGGACAGTCCAGGTTAGATCATAGGTGCGAGTGATGCATTTAAAATCTTGCATGAAGTGTGTAGGATTAGTAGAAAAAGAGCCTATTTTGTGTTTGAGGTGATAGATCTCCAAGAGGGAGAGGGACATTGTCAGACCTTGACCATTCTGTCCATATGTGCCACCTTCCGGAGGGGAAAGATACCATGGGCAGGGGGTTGAGACTGGGTGTGGGAGCGAGTATGGCTTGACATAGGAGAGGGGTTGGGAGAAGGGGAGCCCTGGAAAAAGGCCAGAGTGGGAGAGATGGGAGGGGTGGCCTGTCCATGAGAGGATGCAGGGGCAGAGGTATTGGAGGCAGGGTCTGAAATTGAAGTAGAAGTAGATACAGGAGGGATAAAGGGTTATTTGGTCTAGAAGCCAGAATAGGGGAGACTAGGGAATATTTGGCAAGGAGGTGTTGAAGGTTTTGGATTTCTTCGAATAGAGGAGAATCAGTGGAAGGAGAGGGGGTTATGGACTTAGAGTGCCTGAGAGGGGAGGGGGAAGATCGTGGCGTGGAGAGGGAATTTGAGCCGGAGAAAGGAGGGGAGCCAGGTTGGGGCCCTGGAATGGAAGGCAAGGGAGAGTATAGCATGGGGAGGACCTGGCTGTACCTCACACTGGGGAGCAGGAGGAGGTTAGGGATGGGTCCTAATCAGAAGCTATGGTAGGATCAAAAGCCGAGGTGGAGGCGTAGGGAGGAGGAGGAGGGGCGGAGACCCCTGCTGGGTTGGGAGCCTGTGAAACTGTCTTAGCCAGAAGAACCTGATGGGAAGAACATGGGACAAAAAGGGAGGGATTAGCATGGAGAGCAAAGAAAGCTTGGAGGTATGGTAATTTGGATCGTTTGCCTTTACAATGGCAGAAATTTTCTAAATCTCTCAAAATATTGAAGTTTAAGGTTCTAGTATCTGGCCAAACAGAGTTATTATCTAACTCGTACTGAGGCAAGGCAGTGGTGCGCAGGAACTTCAGGTGTTTTGGCCTGATTGTATCCGAAAGTCCTAGTTGTTTTAAGGATTTAAGAAGACAAGCAAGAGGGTGGTTCCCACAGTGACAGATTAAGTACAGAGTGAAGAGGAGATAGAGAAAGAATGAAGCAAGAGGGTAGGAGATAGAGACAGAACTGAGCAGATGGGAGACAAAATCCTCTCTCCATAGGGAGTGGAGGCAGGATCATGAGTCCAGGCAGGAAAGTGCAGCAGACAAGGAAGAGAGAGACAAGGAGGGAGTAGGAGGAAAAGGGGTTTGGCATCGGTCATGCAGAGCGAGGAAAACCAGACACCAAAAGATAGCATCTGTTTTTTGTTGCGTGGGTTCGAGTTATTTTCGAGTTATTTTCAAGTCCCAGAAGGTGGCGTCCCACAATCAGATCATCGGGGGAGAGGAAAGGTAAGATCCTGTCCTGGACAGGAAGTAGTGCATGTTTCTATCTCTGGAAAGAGTGTCCTATATCCAGAGAAAGGAAGGGATTTTCTGACATGTGATTTCGAGGCAAGCGAGAGGAGTGGAAAACCCTGCAATGAAAGTGTGGTGTGACCGGCCAGTAGATGGAGACAAAGTACAAGGAATGGGATGGGAGAAAAGCAGAAAAAACGCAGTGAGCCAGAAGGGAGGGAAGTTTGTGGAACAAGTTGATCCCGAGGTTTAGTAGAGGAAGATGAGCCCCAGAACGGTGGTGGTTTAGTAGCGCCCCGGAAGGGCAGTGGTGAGAGGGGGTGGGGGGAGGGAGAGAGAGAGAGATAGGGAGAGAGAGAGATAGGGAGAGAAGTACTTAAAATTAATTTATATATTTTAGTGCCAGGAACCATGTTGTAGATTAAAGAGAGAATATTTTGGCCTGAAAAAAATATGTTGGTGTTAACTTAACATTTTTAGTTTTCATGAGATTTTACTTAAAAATTAATATACCAAGTAAATTAATTTTAAGCATAAATTTATATTGACTGTGTATACATATTTAGTTATATAGTCTTTGTTGAGAATGTGGTTGGTTTATCATTTTTAAACTAAAACACCTTTGAAGTAGACAAACAAAATGAATGCACCTTAAAACACTTTGAAAGTAAACTAAAAACAAAATTGGTATTTAACAAATAGGATTTTACCCAACCGGATTAGATGTTGTTTTGTATAGGTAATTAGTGGTCTAAAGAAAGAGTGAAGTTTCCATATAGATTTGAGGTAGCATCTTTTTCCTTTTTAAGAGCTAAATAACTAAAGGAAGTTAATCAAACCTTGTATAAATCTGTGGAGACAGGAAAGACAAGGAAACATGAACAGATTAGGTTAAGAATAAATAAAATCTAAATAGTACTGAAAATAATTCCATTAGCTAGTTTCATTATAGACAGTAATACCCTCTGTTGAAATTAATTTACATCTTAGTTATTCTCAACTTCATAGTGCCTTTACTCTTAGGCTGTTTTGTTGTTCTCCTTCTCCTTGTCACAGGGTCAGGGGGCCAGCCTGAACCTGGGAAAGTCTTGGAGAACACATCTTGAGATAATAGGCTTGAGTCTGAAGTGGGAGGGCCAATCCCATCTCCAGAGTCAGTGTCTCAGTGAGCTCAAACAGCTTGTGACAGTTTACCAATATAATTAATATTACTCTGACAGTAATTACTTATATTAGCTTGTGTACTCTAATAGATGGAAAATTTCTCCAGGACAGAGCCCCTGTCTGGCCCTTGATTCCATCCCTTGTGTCTAGAGCTTCCCTAGCAAATATTATTGAGTGAATGAACATGCTTTTTGTACCCTTTCTTTAAAAATTTTATCATTTTTATTTATGTGCATGTATGTTTGTGTGGGTGCCCAAAGAGGCCAGAGAAGGGTATCAGATTCCCTGAAGCTAGAGTTATGGGCAGTTTGTAGGAACTGAAGTTCAGTCTTCTGAAGAAGCAACAATCCTAGCCATCTCTCCAGCTGCTCACCCCAAATAGCTTTCCTAAAAGAATTTAACCATTTTTCCAGCTATTTGTCTGATTTTATACATGTGACAATAATATAGACATACTAAATACTAATTCTAGAAGCGAAATATTTGTTGCCTGAGCTGTATCTCTGTGTGTGTGTGTGTGTGTGTGTGTGTGTGGTAGTGCTAGAGATCAAATCCAGGAACATGCTAGGCAAACACTCTACCACTGGGCAATACCTCCAGTCTTGGTTTGAACTTGTGAACAGAATGTAGGTTATCAGTTGGAGTTAATGGCTCCTTTCTCCAATATCTTTGCAGGTTTGGTTTGCATGGACTGTGCTGAACATGGAATCCATCTTTGAAGAGGACTCCCAGCTTCGAAGAGTTGTTGAAGGAGAATTGGTTATAAATGCTGCTTTTACCCCTGACCAAGCTCTAAAGGTACAGCAGTAGTTTGCATTTGAATTACAGGGGGTTACTTACATTCTTATGCTGAGGGATTCACTGTATCCTATTAACTATTCCTGTATTTTCTATTCTCGTGAAAGTTCCAAAAACACAGCCACAAAATCAGCATTTAAAATCCTTGTGTGCTGGCTTGAATTTACTCTGTAGTTGTGGATGATTTTGAACTCATGATTTTCCTGCTTCCATCTCCCAAGTATTTGGATTATAGACTTTTTACAGTACTGGGGATTGAATCCAGGGCTTTGAGCATGCCAGGCAAGTACTCTACCAACTGAACTATATTCCCAGCTCTTTAGATGGTCTTTTTTGATTTTTGACCAGGGTCTCCCTGTAGCCCTAGCTGGCCTGGAACTCGCTCTGTAGATCAGGCTGGCCTCAAACTCACAGAGATCCACCTGCCTCTGCTTCTGCTGGGATGAAAGGCGTGTACCACCACGCCATGCCCAGCCAGATGACTCTTAAGGTGCATTTTGATTTTGGAGTCTTTGAAGTATCTTCACGCCAGTAAACTGGCCCATATGTCTTGTTGTCAAGGAGGTAAAGTGTCAGCTAGTGGGCTGGAGAAATGCTTTATGACTTTGTTTTTTTCCTACTGAATTGTAAACAAATATTTAACTTAGAGGTTGTGATTGTGTTCATGTGGGGATTGCCAAAGCTTTCCTCTCTTGTAGAAAGCCCAAGTCCAGCTGAAGCTGCCCATTGTCCCATCTCTGCAGAGGCTGTTGATTTATCGCTGGGCTCATCAGGCTCTGGTCACACCTTCTGATCATCCTCTTCTGCCCCTCATTTGGCAGAAGTTTTTCCTCCTGTATCTTCATCGCCCAGGACCACAATATGGGTATGGTACCCAGTGCTGTAGTAAGTTCCTATGAGCTCATGCCCGAGTCTGTATTCTTATGCTGTGGAGTGTGAGTTATATTCATTCTCGACATCTATTGAGGAATCTCTCTTTGTTTAATATTTATTAACTAGATCTCAATTGAGTTTGATGTGTCTTGTGGCAACTTCTCTTTACTCTCCTGTGTCCCCAACATGTTGAACAAAAGCACCTGGGGATTGGGCAAGGTGTAGTAGAGAACTTCTGGGGATGCACTGGGAGAGAAGGAGCTCCAAACTGAGTCCACATATGTGATCTCTGTGGGATTTGTGCAAGGGGATCTTATAATGTAGTACATGTGGCAGCCTTGGCTGTGCCATTAGGATTTTGAACAGTTCCACTGCAAGGTATGCTGACTAGGCAGAACTGTCCACTGTTACCAACCACCGCTCTTAGCTCCTACTTTAGATCCCAGCCCCACCCCATTCCCTGCAGCACTTTGAAACAAAAAGATGCTGACTCTTTGTCAATACTATATTCTGTTAGATTGCAAATTCCTTAAGAACAGAGACCATCTTTATTATTTAAGTGGTGCTGATGTCTTGAGTTTGTGTAGTGTTTCATTCTTTTCAAGACCACTTTCATGTAGTAGTTTCTCTGTGGATATATTTCAAGACCCCCTCTAGATGTTTTAAGCCTCAGATAGCACCAAACTTTAGATATACTGTGTTTTTCTTCTACATACATATCTATGATAAAGCTTAATTTATAAATTAGGCACAGCAAGAGATTAATAGTAATAACTAATAATACAACAGTTATAACAATATACTACAATAAATGGTCTTTAAAAAATTATATATTATTTTTATTTTATGTATAATAGTGTATTGCCTCTGTGTGTGTAAGTACACTGAGTCATGCAACACCTGCAGAGGTCAGAAGGCGTCAGATCCCCTGGAATTGGAGTTAGGATGGTTGCTAGCTGCCATGTGGGTGCTGGGATTTGAACCCAGGTCCTCTGTAAGAGCAGTCAGTGCTCCTAACTGCTGAGGCATCTCTTCAGCCTGAATAAATGTTATTTAAAACATATATTGCTATTGGCAAGATGGCTCAGTGAGTAAAAGTACTTGCTGTGCAAGCCTGATGACCTGAGTTTGATCCCAGGAACCTGTGGTGGAAAGAGAAAACCAGCTCCTGAAAATTGTTGTCTGACCGTCACACATGTGCTGTGGCATGTGTGCACCTGCATTCACACATACGCAGAATAATAATAAATAAAATTAAAACATGTATTATTTCTGTAGTTTTCCATTCGATATTTTTGGAATGATTGAGTAGAGGTACTTGGAAGCATGCCGAGAGGAGCTACTATAAACACCATTTCTTGGAATCCTCAGAATAACCTTTGAGGAAGAAATAAGAATTAATGGTGTACCCAGTCATAGTAACTTGCTGATTTACTGCTGCCACATAGAACATTTTGTGCTGAAATGTTACAGGCCTATGCTTATATTTTTTAAAGGTTACCTATAGATGGTTGTATTGGAAGAAGATTTTTTCAAAGTCCTGCACATATCAATTTATTGAAAGACATGAAGAGGCGTCTGACGGAGGTGGCTGACTTCCACCATGCTGCAAGCAAAGCTCTTCGTGTTCCAGCAGAGGGCAGTGAAGAGACACCAGAGAGGCAGACTGGCACCCCTGGTTATCTGACTTCGCCAGAACTACACAGGGAACTTGTAAGGTGAGGTGTCTGTCCTGCTGTTTGTGGCACAGGTATTATGCTGGCATGGTTAGCTATGATACAGAACCACATGTTACCCTTATGCTATTAGACTGAATATGGAAAGTGGCTTTGACACAGATTCACATCATGAGATGTTTCTCATGAGATGTGAATTTGGATGTAGCTCTGTTGAGTGTTTCAGTCTGAGTGATAACCAGAGGGCTGATAATCCTTTCTGTTTTTTAATGTAAAAAGTTTTATCATGATAGGCATATAACTATCAGAGCTACTAGAATTAGCTCTTAAATAAATGACCAAGGTAAGACTCTTTAACTGTGGTTCTGAGATCCTTGACAGGATTTAGGGATCCATGTGGATAGGGGTCAAGTAACCTCTCTATACTGCTTATCAGTTCAGGCACAGACTTGCATGTCCCAAAGTTTTAGTAATTTTGGAGTGACTAAAGATTCCTCTACCTTCTACCTGTAAGTTTAACTTAGTCCAAATTAACTTAGAGCAAGACTTAATGAAACCTTGCTGTTTGTTGGCAGTTATAATGAAGCATGGCTATTAGCAGTTATCCCTAATTACAAAATAGCTCAGGGAGGAACCCTAGGCTTTATGCTTGGTTTGACCTTGGGCCCTCTGGGCTTGCCCGGAGCCTCCGGGAAGATTTCTCCCCTTATCATGAATGGTTAAAGGAGCACTTTATTATTATTTTTTTTTACCTGGCTTTCCCACTAGAAGACTTTATTTTGGAACATTCTAGATCTTTAATGATCCCTCTCCCTTTTTTAAAGTCTCTTCCTGTGGGGTGTTTAGAAAGTGGCCATCAGTCTTACACAGTAGAAAGTACGAAGAAAAAACTGTATCCATACCAGCTTTTTCGTTTTAAGAAACTCACAGCCCTTTCTGCTCTCTGTCTTGCCACACTCTCCTGGAAGTAAAGGAGGTAATTTTCCACTTTGTTGAGCAGAGGTACACCAGGCTGCCTCCTGGTCATCTATTTTGCCAACAATGCCTTTGAATACCAGTGATCTTGGCTAATGGATAGCTTTTTATTCCTTGAAAAGACAAAACAAGAATAAAACTTAAAAATATATACTGGAAAATCCAGATACTTTTTTTTTTTTCTAAACTTAGCATTTTGAAAAAAATTCCTTTTTAATGAGAGCAGGGTAGTCACATGCACAGTTTTATTTATGATTTCCTGGAGACTGGAGATGGCCACTGACACTACAGCTGGTCGTTGTTTCCAGTGCAGAAGCTGAAGTAGCTTTTGTTATTTTCCAACACTATGCCTGAATTGTCAAGGAAAGCAAAGCTCCAGATTCAGATCCTAGGGCTGAGGTATAGGCACTCACCCCGAGTATTTCTGTCTATTCGCTATACTTACTTCTTCATTAGTAATGGAGCTCTCAGAGTCCCCTTTTCAGACCTTCTGCTTGACTAATTACTGAATCATACTTTAATGATCAATGAAGTAGCCCTGTTGAACTGTGATCTTTTTGGGATGGGTGGTGATTGCTTGACACCTTTCTTTACTCTCACATACTGGCGCCACAGTCTTAGTAATATGAGGAACTTCATTTGTCCGCACATCTTTTTATATATATTTTATGTAATTGTGTTTTTATCTTTCAGGCTCTTCAATGTATATGTATTATGGCTTGAAGATGAAAATTTTCAGAAAGGAGATACCTATATCCCTTCTCTACCAAAGCATTATGACATTCACAGGCTAGCAAAAGTCATGCAGAATAAGCAGGTAAAACTCTGCTAATGCCTTTTAGCATTTCTAAATGTGGTTTGGACCTGTCATAGTGATTACCCAGTGGTTGAACCCCTTATTTGTATGGAAATGGTGGTCAGACACATGGTCATTTTGATGGACTTTGTCAGTAAATAGGTGAATGTATTAACAGGATATTCTCCCTTGATTCTCCAGCTCTGAAATGGTCTCAGCTGGAATCCTCAAGCTTGTGCTAGGGCTTTTTGTAACCCGAGGAACACAACCTTTCTTTGACTGTATTCTTGCTTAAGTTGTCATCTGCTGAACATTTTTCAGCAATCACCTCTACCATCAAAAGCACAAGAAGAGAGTTTTAGGAATCCATACACGATATAGGTCAGAACAGGGAGGAGAAGAGGAGCTCTCCTTGGCTTTAAGAAGCCTTTATCAGTGTCCTGAGTTCTGACCATCCTTCTGGAGCCACTGTTTTAGTTTGTGTGTCCTAATCAGTTTTCTCTCTGGAATCCAGTGAGGTCTTTGATTATTTCTCAGGCTCAAACTTGTACTGTCAGTTTTTTCCAAGTTTCTGTAGCTTGGGGGCAGGGCAGGAAGGTAGGAAGAAAGCATCTCTCCTATTTTGGATCCTTTTACTGAAGGGATGAATTTTGGTAGCTGTTAACCTTGCACTGGATGGGTTTAGGAGCTTTTTTTTAAAAAATTATTTTTATTTTATGTGTATGCGTGTATCGCCTGCATGTAGGTAAGTGCACCCGTGTCGTGCAATGCCCGCAGAGGTCAGAAGAGGCTGTCAGATCCCCTGGGACTGGAGTTACAGACAGTTGGAGACTTTCATTGGTTCATTAGACCTGTCTGTTTTCACATTGTGTCTGGTACTTCATCTCCAGTAGTTATATTTGACTTACTTTCCTCCTTTCTTCCCTTCCTGTTTCCTTTTAAAAAAAAAATTTTATTTATTATTTTTATGTTATGTGTATGTGTGTACTGCCTGCGTGTAAGTAAGTGCACCCGTGCCGTGCAATGCCCAGGGAGAACAGAAGAGGCTGTTGGATCCTCTGGAACTGGAGTTACGGACAGTTGTTAGCTGCCATGTGTGTGCTGGGATTCGAACTGGGTCTTCTGCAAGAACAATCAGTGTTCTTAATTGCTGAGCCATCTCTCCAGCCCCAGTTCCTATTTCTTTATTCTTCCCTTCCTTCCATGACTATTTACTGAGTGCTTTCTAAGTGCCAGGTGATTAATGCCATAGATACAAAATTAATTTGATACTGGTCTCTGCCCATCAGGTAGGGGAGTAAAGCAGTGATCACATCTGTGACTACAACTGTGGGAGTGGAATGCTGTTGGTGTACTGTGAATGTAGATGAGCAACCCCATTTAGACCAACCAGGAGTGGTCTCTTGTGAGCTGAGCTCTGAACTTGGTGAGGTTGGAAGGAAAGGCATGGTGATGGAGAGTGGCAGAGGGTATTAGGTGGTAGAATGACTACTACATGCAAAAACATGGCATGTCTACAATGGCGCAGGCCAGGGCATGGCAGCTGAACATGGCGGATAGAACCAGAAACACTAATTGGGGTGAAGTCTCTAAGGGCAAGGTATTTCTAAAGATTTTGGATTTTATCCTTTGGAGAGCTACTACAGTGGCAGCAGTGGTTAAATAAATGGAATAGGGTTTTTATTTGAAAAAAAGATTTTGGGGCTGGAGAGATGGCTCAGTAGTTAAGAACACTAGCTGTTCTTTCAGAGGACCCAGGTTAAATTCCCAGCACCTACATGGTGGCTAACAACCATCCGTAACTCCAGTTCTGGGGAATCCAGCACATCCTTCTGACCTCCATGGACACTGTACAACTTGGGTGCACTTACACACATGCAGGCATTATACCCATACACATAAAATAAAAATAATAAATTGTAAAAAGTTAAAAAAAAGATTTTGTATTTTTTATTCACGTGTATTCTTGTGTGCCTGCATGAAACCATCTGATATGGATCTTTGCTAGAACAGTAAGCACTCTTAACCACTGAGCCATCTCTCCAGCCCTGGAGTAGGATTTTGTGATTGATTAGATACATAAGGACATCTAGGTGTTTTTTCCCTTTCCTTTCCTTTTCCTTTTTTTTCTTTTTCCTCACTTGGGCATCTGGAATGTTGGAAGAGGAAATGCTTCAAAAAAGACCTCTCTTAACATGGGGATACCCTGGAGGTATTTAGATACAGATGAGGAATAAGGCTAGGTAGAGAATGTGGGCTTGATGGTAGTAGAATGTTTTGATTAGGAAGAGAACTAAAGTATTACTCTGAGAAAGAATATTTAAGCCTCAGAGACATAAGACTTGGAATAGAAGCTAGAGGAATAGGAAAATGAGTATGAAATCTTAGTGGCCTGAATTCTTTGAGTGTTGTCTCATGCTCATTTCTTCTTTGTGCTCTGCATGTCACACCCTTTATCCAATCCTTTACAAATAATCGGAGCATGGATGTTTTAAAATATTAACCGTAGGGGCTAGAAAAATGGCCCAGTGGTTAAGAGCACAAACTGCTTTTGCAGATGACCCAAGTTTGGTTCCCAGCACCCATGTTGGGTGACTGATAACTGCCTGTAACTCCAACTCTGAGGGCACTTGCACTTACGTGCATATAGTCTTCCACCCCCCGCCCCCACATACACATAATTTTAAGAAGTCTTAAAAAATATTAACCATAACTTTCATGATTCTGTGAGATTTATCTTGGTTCCTCAGTCTCTAGTCAACTGATAATTGCCCCTCCCTCCTGTTTCTTTGAGATGCTATGGATGGAACTCAGAGCCTTCACATACTAGGCAATGTCTTTACCAATGAACTGCATCTCAGTCCCTCTCCTCTTTTTCAAAGTCAGTCTTTGGTTGTCATTTGATAAATAACTCCTTTTTTGATCTATAATTCAAGCTCTGAGTTGTTTTGTATTTGCTTACCAGTTGCTGTCAGGATTTTACCAGCAGTCTCTGTCAGGAGTTCTCAGCACAGGGGTTGGCAGGGTGACATAGGAACTCCATTTAAGGGAGATAAGGCTATCCAGTAGGAAGTTCTTCAACAAGTTCAACAAGAAGGAAGTTCTTCTACCCTACCCTTCAGTAGGATTCAGGTAGGATTCAGAATTGTTAGCAGGACACTTTGGAACTCTTCCTGAGTCTGTAATGCTTTGTCTTGTAGTTGGCTTAGAATTATTGATTTAGAGCTTCATAGCAGTGGCTAATTGAGAAGCTTGGATATTTCTTGGTTTAGAGAGATCCTTGAATCTTTAGAACACTTAAAACTTAAAAAGAGAAAGAAAAGCATGATCCATAAAGCCATCCTCCATAATTGATCACTTGGTATTCCTATTTGAAGTAATTACTACTGTATTTTATATCTGGCATTTTTCTAGTACAGGTAAAGCTCACCATATTAATATGAGTGATCACTGAAGTAAAGGTCATGCAGTTCAGAATATGTAACAATAGCTCACAGGAGTGTAGCAGAATACTAAAATTTCTGGTTTTTTCTTATGTATTTCACCTTCTAATTTTTTGTTTTTTAATTTTTGAGAACAGGATCTCATTTAGTAGCCCAGGCTAGCCTTGAGGCAGTCCTTTTGTTTCAGACTCCCAAGTGCTGAGAATATAGGTGTATACTACCATGCCCAGCTAGTTTACCTTTTCAATGACTATATTCCAACATTGAGAAAAGTGGAATGATGTAATGGACATGCTCTCCTCTTCCCCACATGTCACCATGCACCTGGTTTAATCTGTAGGTCATCTGTCCCTGTAGCATAAGTTATCATCTGTATACTAAATCTGGAGATCATTTAATACATAAAGGCTTTAAAAGATAAGGATAAATCACATTTACATTTGAAAAATATTGTTTCTTAATATCAAACATATAGCCTGTTAAAAATTACAGTTGTCTTATAAATGTCATCAAGGTTTTGTTTTTATAGTTTGAGTCAGAACCCTTATTTTGTGAGTGGTTGATGGGTCATTTTATTCTTTCTTTTCTTCCTTTTGCAGTTTATTTGTTGAAGAAACTGGATAGTTTGTCCATGGCTTCTTCACAGTCTGATTTTTGCTGCTGGTATAGCTTAACTTATTTTTCTTTCCCTTGTAGCACTTGTATATTCGGTATTTAGACTTAGAAGCTTAATCTAATCCAGGTTCATTTATTTGCTATTGTGTTTATTTGTTTAGACAAGGTCTCATTCTGTAGCCCAGGCTGGGCTATAACTTACTATGTAGCCCAGACAGGCCTTGAACTTGAAGTAGTTCTTTTGCCTTAGCCTTCTGAGAGTTGGGATTATAGGCATGCGCCTCCAAGACCAGCTTCTGTCTATTTATTTTTAAATCTTACTTTAAAAATTTTTTTTTTTGAGACAGCATTTCTTTATAGCCCTAGCTCTCTTGGAACTCACTAGGTAAACCAGGCTTGCCTTGAACTCACAGAGATATGCCTGCCTCTGCTCACAAGTGCTGGGACTAAAGGTGTGCGCCACCATGCCTGGCTTTTTAAAAAATGTTTTATTTTTTATATATGTCTTATGCACATAATTTAGTAGCTCAGTAGTATATATAATTCATAAATATACATATAGAAGGGCTGTTAAAATTACTTTTTCCAATCATGATACATAACAAAGGAGTTTTGCAACTGCTGCAAAGATTGTTAGGGGTTGTTTTTTGGGGTGGGTCTTTTTGAGACAGGGTCTTCCTGTAGCCCCAGGTGACCTGGAATTTGCTATGGAAACCAGGCTGGCCTTGAATTCACAGAGATCTGCCTGCCTCTGCCTCCTGAGTGCTGGGATTAAAGGCATGCACCATCATACTCAGCCTTCGTTAGTTGTCATTTTTAATGTAATCCAACCTAATACTGGAAGCCTGGAGTGGATCACCTTGTTGAAAAGCACTGATTTACTTTATAGTTAAGTACATAGTTTTATGTAAGAATATATGATTTATCTACCAATGTTCAAGTATTCTGCTTCTATTCTAGGATCTATGGATGGAGTATTTGAATATGGAGCGCATACATCATGAGTTCCAGGAAACTGTTGGACTATGGATGCAGGCCAAGCTTGAGTCCCATTCCATGCCCTGTAGCTCTTCAGCACAGTTAGACTTCACTGATCCTTTGTTGGGTGAGTCAAGTGAGCATCAGCTCCTTTGAAAGAATAAATAAATAAGTGATGGACTAATGAATCAAATTCATTGATGGTTAAGGTTTCCACACTATTTCTACTGTGAGAATTGTTCTGTAAGCATTCGATGTTTGGGGATAAAAAGAGTTCCATGTTTGTTTGTCTGCCACTTAGGAATCCAAACCATTAATGACTTAAACAAGATTGAGATTTAATTTTCTTGATGAAAGAAGTGTGGGGGCAGGTAGCTAAGAGCATTGGGGAACCTCCATGACTCCTGCAAGCTTTCAAGCACTCCAGCTTCCTATTTTGCTGCCCTATTGTTCTCACAGGTGCCATCTACTTGCCTTTCATGATGGCTGCATAGGTTTACACTGCCCTCTTTGCATATACATTACATAAGCAGGAAAGAGAGTCTCCCCAAAAGAATTCTTTCAAGAAGGTGCTCAGAGACTTTCTGGTTATGTCTCATTGGCTCAAACTGAGCCACGTGTCTGTCTCTAACTGAAAATGAGGCTGGTGTGCTGATGGCTCATTTATTTTTCAATGCTTTAAAAACACATTTCAATTTTAATTGCAAAGCTATATATATAATAAAATATAACTTTAAGTGGAATTATTTAACAGAAGTCTTATTTTTCTTTCTTTTTTAAAAAATTATTTATTTAATAACCACATGATTAGAAGAAACATTTCATTGCAGCATTAACATGTTCAGTGACAATTTCCAGAACAAAGATGCATCTCTTTCAAAATTGGCTGTAAATTTTTAGGTTCACAGTTGAATTAATACAGTTATACAATATTGAACTCAGTATAAGTCCTATAAGATGTAAAATTGAATGAGGTTTTAACCTTTAAAAAAGATCTCCATTTCATTTTTAAATATACTGTTTCATACAGAAAAACTCAATCTTAGTGCTACTAACACTTAGATGTTTACACATGCATCTCTAATCTCTATGTATCTTATTATTACTAGTCACAGTCAATTACTTTCTGAGATCCTTGGCACCTGAGCATGGAGTCGTCAGGTAGATTTCAGTGGTAATGTTTTTCATCTCTACTAATTAACATGAAGCAAATTTTTATGCTTCTTCCTCAAATATAACTCATTTTTTTATTTGTTGGTTTTTTCGTGTGTGTATTTCATATAGAACATCCCAAACAATCTTATTCATCTATATACCCACATCCCAAATGGCACCCATAGCCTCCTCTGCCTCCACTGGAGCCCATATACTCTGTCATCCCTGTTACTCTCCACTATGTTGTTGTACCCCCAGCTGTTCTCCAGTGCATGTCCATCCACTGAATCTAGTCAGCCAATCTAGATTCCTTGTTGTAGGAAGATCAGCTCTTTTTCACCTAGCAGCAAGCAGTTGCCAATATTCCTTTAGATAAGACTGTGGTCTGCTGTTCATTTTCCCAGTTCTATCCTGGGTTACTGTCTGGGAGTCTCTTGGGCCACCCTGGCCAACAACTCAAAGGAAGGTATCTCCTGTCTGGCATTGTTTCTTGTTATGTAGCCTTTAGCTATACATATGGACTCTTAAAGAATTATATTAATCCCTTTAATCTTCAGTTATACTTCCCTTTTGGGTGTTTAAGGCCATACAGTTGGCCCAGATAAACCAATTTATTTTTATTAAGGTCATTTGAGAATCTGTTCCTCAGGGGTCACATGGGCTTGGGAGAAGCCCCTAGCTCCTTTCTTTTACCAGTTCCATGTATGTGAAGATACGTCAAAGGTCCTGCTCAACTGTGGCTGGCTTCACTTGGAAGCATGGAGGAAATGTTTCCTCTGTAATTGACCCTCCTCTTTGTAGAATGAACACTGGTTCAAGTCCATTTGGTGGGGTCTCCATGGCCTCCTTGATCAAGAGGACAGGTGACTTAAGAGAGAGTCTCACTATGTAGCTCTGACTAGCCTGAAACTCATAGAGATCCACCTGCCTCTGCTTCCTGAGTGCTTGGATTAAAGGTGTCTACTACCATGCCCAGCTGAATTTTTTTCTTTGTAAGCTTTTTTCCTCTCTGTATCTGGAATGCTTACCACAAAAATGGATTATGTTTAGGGGGCTGGAGAGATGTCTTAGCAGTTAAGAGCACTGGCTGTTCTTGCAGAAGATCAGCACCCACATGGCAGCTAACAACTGTCCGTAACTCCAGTTCCAGGAGATCTGACAGCCTCATCTGTCCTCCATGGTCATTGCGTGACATGGGTGCACTTACCTACATGCAGGAAATACATGCATACACATAAAATACAAATAATAAATAATATATTTAAAAAGGAAAATTATATTTGAGTTCACCTTAATTACTAATTATAGTTTTTTAATGTAGGACAATAACAAAATTGTAAATATAATTGTTGCCTACATCTTACAATATATAGTGCAATAGAACACTGAAATGACTGACAGAAAGGCAAACATGCTCTTTTATTCCAACATGTTAGTTGGGTAAAGAAAGTAAAATAAGAACCTCTGGGTTTCAGTTCATTTGTCTGCTGAATAGTTTCATCCAAGGCGCCAATGTTTTCCAAAATTCCATTTTTCTCCTTGCTTTTTTTCCCCTGAAACACTTTTTTTTAAATTATAAAAATTGTATGTGCTCCTTGAAAAAAGAAAGCAATTTAGAAAGGTATACAGAGGATGATATGAAAACTGCCCTGGGCCTGCCCATGCAGTGTTTATTTTCTATTGCTGACATTTGCTAAATGAGAAGAAACCCATGGCTAGACCTGGGAACCCAGAGTACTTCTGTTTCTGCCTGTCTGTCTATAGTGCTTTTGTGTTGTCTAAAACTACCCTAAAAGGCTAATTGTTTTCTTTAGAATTAGAGAAAAGTGACTCGTCAAATTTAAATTAATAATTTCTGAAACCTTTGCCTTCTTTTGGCACTATTCCTGTACTTTATACATGTATACTCAGTCCTCACTACAACCCAATGTAGGTTATCCCCTTTAAGCAAGTAAGGAACCTAGGGTGTAAGATGGTAGGGTGACTTGTGACCTGGGTCACAGAGATGGAAAGTGGTGAGGTGTTTGGCTCTGGAGACTCATGCTGTTCACCATTGAGTACCCTATTCCTAGTTTCTCAGTCATTATTACAATTTGAAATTCCAAAAAAAATTAATTCCTAGATTTTTAAATGATAAATTTCAGGTTTTCCTCAAATATGATTGTGTCAAATGATTGAATATACGAATGTAGGAAAATTTGATCAGTGTGCTTGTGATACCCACCAAGTTCTTTTTCAATCATGTTTGTTGTATAGATTTCAACATTTTTTTAAAAAGTTTTTGTTTACTGTTTTTTTTTATTTTGTGTATATGAGTGTATTGCCTGCATGTGTGTGAGTGCATCCATGTTGTGCAGTGCCTGTGGAGGTCAGAAGAAGTGTCAGATTCCCCTGGAACTGGAGTTAAAAAAAGATGGTTATTAGCCTCCATGTGCATGCTGGGAATCGAACCTGTGTCTTCTGCAAGAGCAGCCAGTGCTCTTAACTACTGAGTCATCTTTCCAGCCCCAACTTCAACATTTTTGCCAATTTTGGTCCAGAGTGGTGATTACAATATGCTCTGATTTCGTTTATTTTTGTTTAAAAAACATTATCCTTGATTTTTTTAAATAATGTTATATTCCATTTGAAAGAACCTCCATTTTCCCTTTAGAATCATAACCTATAATGCTGCTTGAAAGAAACTTTAACCCAATCACAAGTCCTATCAAATGATGACCATCGAACCAATCTGTGCATAGTGGTAGTTTTAATGGAAAAACACTACCTCAGGAACAGTACTGACTTGACCTTTTTGGAATGCTAGCTACCATCTGTTTGGAGTACAAACAGTACAAATCTCCTTATGCCAAGTCATGGCTATTAATTTTTTTCAATAAGAATAGAAAATTGAATGTTTTATCTGGAATGAAATTGGAAATTCATAGTGCTTGACTTACTGACTTGAAGTTTCCTTGACTTTTTCTTTTTCTTATCTGTGCCATTGAAAAGAGGTGGGATGTAACAACATTTGTCTTCAAGTTCTTGTTTCCACCTACTGTTGGTATGTGTGTAATCTGCTGAAGAGAGAGGGAGAGGAATTTGTATAAAGCTCTATGTAAGAACAGAAAGATCAAACACTTAAATTTGATGAGTCAGTCTGAGACTGTGTGATTGTGCAGAGTTGCATGCAAACATGCCTTCATTTTTCTTGCACTGCACTAGGCTGCTTATTTGGACTCCATAAATCATTTTCTGAGTGACATAGTCATACTGACTATGTGACTTCATAAATGTAGGAGCTGCAGGACTTAAAGCCCCATCTTTATTCATTTTATTCTTTATTCTTTCAGCTCTCCTATTCAAAATTTGATTGAATTTCAATTTTTTTTTCTCTATTCTATAATACTCTCCTATTTCTATGAATTTTCTCTGGATGGTGGCATTAAACTACCTGCCTCTGGACCAACCACATGTATTATCCACTATCTAGATGATAAAAACTGTCTCAAGTTTGCTCACTGTATGCTAACATCAAGTCCAAACTAGTGTGTCATGCAAGATGTTTAGAGTAGTATTTTTTTTTTTTTTGTCTTTTTGTTGTGAGACAGGGTCTACTTGTAGCCCCAGCTAGCCTAGAACTTACTACGTAGAGCAGATTAGCTCACAGAGATCCGCCTGCCTTTGCCTCCCAAGTGCTGGGATTAAAGGCGTGCACCACCACACCCTTTAGAGTAGTAATTTAGATAATGAGCTTTTACTCTTTAAATGTGTCTGTGTTTGCGTGGGTGTATGTGTGTGTGCGCATGTGCACATGTGGAAGCCAGAGGTCAACTTTGGGTATCATTCCTCAGGAACTATCAACTTTGTTTTCTGAGACAGTTCTGTCATAGGCCTGGAGCTCACTGAATAGACTAAACTGGCTGGCCAGCAAGCCCTAGGGATTCCCCTGTCTCTACCTCCTCAGCCCTTAGACTGAAAGTTCAAGCCACTGTGCCTAGCCCATTTTATGTGGGATTTGTGTTGAACTCAGGTCCTTGTGCTTACATAGCAAGTACTTTATGGACTGATCTTTCTCTCCAGCCCTCTATAAACTTTTTGAGGATGGGCATTCTATTTAATTAAGCTACATGATCCTGATCATCTAGCTTCTAGTAGAATATTATTAGGCCTGTGGGGGACTTTCTCAAAACTTGAAAAACCAAGAAATTATTTATCTAAGCCCTTTTTGTTTAAGAAACTATTCTGAAAATCTCTAACATACTTTATAAGAGTTAACAGACCAGGGCTTTGTATCTATTTAGTATATTACTTCCCATTACTGAGTAAATATGGCTTTTCTTTCAGCTAAAGAAAGGGTTTTAAGTAACTTACAGAAGCATGAGCCTCCTCATCCTCCCCTTGTTGTGCACCCCATGAGGCCTCCTGTGCCACTTATCTCCTCAGCTGTGCTGCTTAATCAGAAGGATACCACCCAGCTGGTGTGCGCAGACCTGAATCTATTGCAACAACAGGCCAGGTAAGGCCATGAGGCCTCAAGGATTATACTTCTTGCTCATCGCTTTGCAAGCCTAGGTGATTTAGTATGTAGCAAAAAGTCATCTACTCTTTTTTTTTTTTTGGTCTGTCTGAGACAGGGTCTCCCTATAGCCCCAGCTGTCCTGGAGACCAAGCTGGCCTTGAACTCACAGAGATCCGCCTGCCTCTGCCTCCTGAGTGCTGGGATTAAAGGCGTGCGCCACCATGCCTAGCTATATTCTTTTGAGTTCCCAGGGTACATACAGAATAATCACCTGCTTCAGGTTTTGGTTCTCACTTATAGCCTTGTGAGAAGTGTATACAGACAAGTCTATTTTATTAACAGCAAACGAGCTTTACTTTTACAAATCCCACATGAATCATTTTTTTTATTGACATTTTTTTCTTTGGCTACATTTATTCCAGGCATTTAATTGCTTGTGTGTACACATAGATATTTGTCTGCTAATGTAATAACAGATACATTTAGAAAAGTATCAGCATGCTCTGCACCATGTCTTTTTTTGTTTTGGTGGTGCTTGGTGTTGAACCTAGGACCTTTTTAAAATTAATTTTTATTTTACGTTTATTAGTGTATTTCCTGCATGTAAGTGCACCTGCGTCGTGCAGTGCCTGTGGATGCCAGAAGAGTGTCAGATCCCCTGGAACTGGAGTTATAGACTGTTGTTAACCACCGTGTGGGTGCTGGGATTTGAACCTGGGTCTTCTGTAAGAGCAACCAGTGCTCTTAACCACTGAGCCATCTCTCCAGCTCCTGGACCTAGGACCTTATGTATGGTAAACATAAGCTCTATGGTTAGCTTTCATAGTGGTTTACATTTTAGTACCTGAAAAGCACTGACAATTAAGGCATCCCTTTAGCATGATGTTAAGAATTCTCATTTGTTCTGATGTATTTCAGCGTCCATTATAAAATCTTACTGGTATAATCTAGATTTTAAGTGAAGCTTTGTTTCTAGCTGAAGATTGTTATGCTTTTCCATAAGGCTTTCTCTTCATTTCTTAACTTTTAGTTAGGCCAGTTACCAGGAGACAAAATTTGGCCATCTTGGCCCACAAACCTTTGGTGTTTTGTTATGGTAGAATATTTGTCTTGTGTCATTGTGCTGGTTGGGGGTAGCAGGAAGGCCTTTATCACTTTTCATACAACTTTTCCTGACTTTTCTGTGGGCCTGTTTTTCAGAACTGCAGCTCTTCGGGAATCTCAGCAGGTTGCGCTGGATGGTGAGTTGTTGGAGACAATGCCCAAACAGTATGTTAACCGAGAAGAACAGATCACCATGCATTTGGAGTGCAAAGGCAGTGGTGGGAAGAAATGCGAGGGAGCAGCAGTTGTAACAGTTCAGGTGAGATTATTTAAATTCTTTTTTTATATTTTTTATTGATTTGTATGTATTTCATACATAAAATCATCTTTATATCTCCTTCCCCTTTCCCCTTTGGTATGCTCCATAGTACCCCCCCCCATCCCCATGGGAGTTCACATAGTCTGTCATTTGTATTAAAGTTAGTGTCCCAAGATGTCCCTCAGTGCAAGTTCGTCCACTGGGATTTAGTCAGCCTATGTAGAGAGTCCCTTCAAGAAGATCAGCTCTTCCTCACCCAGCAGCGTTCAGCTCCCAATAATTCTTTGACCTACGATTGGAGCTTGCTGTTCATAACCACAGTGAGATTTTTAAAATTCTTCATAAGTTAGAGAATTTTAAAATGAGTCCTTTCTATTGGTGTATCATTGAGAAATATTGAAAGAAGGATAACATATCACCTGTGACCCAAAAGAGCAGAACCTTTGAGGAATGAAAACACAGAAAGAGCAAAATAAATTGTCTTCAATTTCCCAATGCTAATAAAAAGAGCTATTTTTTTCTTTTTTGCAAATGTATCTCCAGAACACATATTTCTGTGTCAGATGAGTCCTGCAAGACTGATACTCAACCAGTAATTCAAAGAAAAGCAGAATCATTGAAAAGATTCTTAGAGAAGCAACTTAAATAAGTCTTCCTAAGATTTTGATGAAGGGACTTTGGGTTCAGTTTGAAGAAATGATGGAAAGGATCGCTGCGTTGCTGTCTAGGGGTCAGTGGTTACATCAGTCTCCTTCAGGTGTTTTGGAGCATGGTGGTGGGGGTTCACATGGGAAAGGTGGGCTAAATGATCACAGGGTTTTGTCTGATGATGTGGGTAGCAGGGAGCTCCTCAGGACAAGCATGGGAAGCAGATCAGTTGGGCTAATGTGATTGGCCAACAGGCAAATGATACATGTAGCGATATGGCTAAAAATTCAACACCTGTCCCCTTCTTACACTGGAAATACAGACAAAAGTTGGTTCTGAGATATCAGAAGAAGCTCAGAATAGAAACTGAGCCTAAGTTAGCCCGTTACAGCATTCACTTTATGCCAGACTCTGTCTAAACACTTTATGGAATTTATTTAATCCTCACAACAATGTGGTGAGGTGGGTATTTTATTGTCTTCATTTTCCAGATGAGGAAGTAGAGGCAGAGAGAGATTAAATTACATTTGAATGTAAAGCAGCCAGGAGGCCCAGTCAGGCTGACACCAGAGCCCATGCTCTTCTGGGCTGTTCCTCACCCATTCTGCAACTGAGTTTCCTGAGATGGAGAAGGAGCCTTTGGAGATAGGCACTGCCTGCTGCCTGACCACATTTGCATAACAGTATTACTTTGCTCATCCTCTATTGGCTTTTAGAACTTGTCTCACCCCCCATTTCAAACCCACATCTAACTGTTCTAGCTTATTCTTCACTGCTTTCCATATTGCTTCTAAATTTTTTTTTTCTAAAATAACCTGTTATACTTCCTGTATTTTTCATTACCTTTGAAATTTATTTCAGATTTTTGTTCATAGTTGTATATATACCTAATATTAACAGACTTGACTTGGAAGTCAAGATGAGTTCACCTTATTTTCCTACCTTTTATTTTTAAATTTTTATTTATTATTTTTATTTTGTTTATGAGTACTCTGCCTGCATGTATGTAAGTGCACCCAAGTCGTGCAGTGCCCATGGAAACCAGATGAGGGTGTTGGATCTTCTGGAACTGGAGTTATAGATGGTTGTTAGTTGCCATGTGGGTGCTGGGAATTGAACCCAGATCCTCTGGAAAAGCAGTCAGTGCTCTTAACAGCTGAGCAATCTCTCCAGCCCCCCTACCTTTTACTTAAGCATGTCAGACTCCTCAACATTGTCTTAGTTGTCTTTAACCAAGTGCTTCTGGAAGTTACTTTTCTTTCAGTGAGTTTTTCCCCGGTTACCATTGCTGTAAGACCAGGTAGATATATTTAAGAAAGATCACTTGCTAAAGTAATGAAGCAGGAAAGAAAAGCTTGTCAGCCTAGGGTGGAGTTGGATGGGAAAATGTTGACATGTGACTGGCTATAATAAAAGGGAGATGTTTTATTACTAATCTGCTTTTTGTTGTTTCGTTTTGGGTCTTTTTGAGACAGCATCTTTCTGTAGCCCCAACTGGCCTGGAACTCACTATGTAGGTCAGGCTGGCCTTGAACTCACAGAGATTCACTTGCCTCTGCCTCTGCTGGGATTAAAGGTGACGCACCATAAGGCCTGGCATAACTAATCTGTTTTTATAAGCAATATTTTTCCATGTTTTGAAATTGCATCTTTGCCTGGCAGTTAATTCCATATATATTCCCTTTAGGGAATTCCTCTAAAATGCATTCTCTGAGTAACAAGTGAAATAAATAGCAATTCAGGTTAATAGCTTGTTTTGTGAAGAGCTATAAATATTTGTTGCCCCAGCCAAAGAACACATTTCTTGCCTGACCTGTTAACTCTCAAGGTCTTGCAGTAGAAAATACCACCAGGCAGACCAGAATTGTTAACCCCAAACCTATTGGTGACTCATCTCTTCCTTTCTGTGATCCATGTTATTAAATTGAACACTCTGGATTTAGAGCAGTTTTTAAAAATTAGCTTCATGAAAAATGGTTTTATATTTCAAAGATAGTTTTTGAAATACAAGTTTTAATGGCTCCTTCGGAACGATTTCATATTACTACATTCTCTTGCTTAATAAAAATTTTCTGGAAATTTCCATCCATCTGCAAGCCTTTGAACTTGTATAGCTTATTTGGAGTATACAAAAGCTGAGTGTGTTTTCTGAGAACTGAGACGTGCTTCTTCTGTGGTTTCCACCAAAATGTTTGGCCATGCAGTGTTGTTTCCTGAGGGAACGGAGTGATTTATAATTGGGTTCCTTCTTCCTTCTGTTGTACTTGGTATTGTAGGGCATATTTGCTAGTCTCAGAGTTGATTTAGTATCATGTGAAAGTTTGTCCATTCCTAGAAATAAAAGATGGAAAAGACCCACTGAGGGCCTTTCATTATTGTAAAAACTTGTGGAAGAACATGCTTTGTCCAAATTTTTCTTTGTCTCCTTAAAATGATTCAAACGAAGGGACTTCTACCATGTCTCTTTTGTTTTATTTTCTCCAGTTTCTTGTCATTATAAGCCAGGAGTCATTCAATCCTTGTTACATCTATTCTTGTAAGAAAGCTTTCAATAGTGGTGAGAAAGTGTAGAGAGTTTTATACAACATTGGCACGTCTTAAATGACAGGGTTCTCGTGATTATAAAAAAATAGGTGTGCTTGGAGCTGTGCTGTGTTGGGGTTCTATGTGAGTGACAGGAAGGACTGTTGTCCCTAGGATATAGAGTTTATGAAGTCCTCATTCAAATAACCTGATGAATTAGCATTTATATTATTTACAGACAAAGGGTGTGCCTAATCATTGCAGTGGTGTCTGAAGACAAGGCTTGGGGAAATGAGTATCAATAGAGGATATAGACACCACTGCTCACCATGGGTTGTGAAGATGATCAAACAATCAAGGATTTAGAATTCTACCTTCTAGATATTCTAGTTTTCTCAATATTCTCCAGTGTGCTTGCAAGATAAATTCAACCCCCATGGTAGCCTGTCACTAGAGACCTGTCCAAGTCGTTGCCCCTTGCTCTCTATCTAATCTGACTGAACTGCACTCTTTTGCTTCTGCTCCTGTGACCAGCCCAAAGGCTTCTCCTGCCCTCCCTCAACTCCAATAACTGTCACTTTTGTTTTTGTTTGTTCCCTTCATTTTTTAAAATTCAAATTTAATAGGAATTATATAAGAGAGATTTTTGTCATGGCTGCCCACTGCAGTGTGATGTTAAAATGGCCCACTGTTTAATGTTTTTTCCTGTTTTGGATATTAGGCCTGATGGTATCACTACCCAGCTTTCAGCCTGCTGGGTACATATCCCTCTGTCCATGAGCTGGAAGGCCAATATCAGAGTCTCAGGCACAGAGTAGCCAACAGGAATGCCATTTACAATGATCTTTTTCATCAATGATAAAGAGGCCCTTGGAGGAGATACCTTCAGCCTTTAAGACTCCATTGACCAATGCCGTGCTTAAGGATGGACACCAAGAGAATATTCAGTCGCAGTCTTCCTTGTTCCACAGGTATCTTGACCTGTGTGTGCTATGTAAGAGATGTGAGACTCCAGGGAAGTACCAGTCACTTTACAGTTGAGTTTCTTAAAATTTTCTTCTCTATCACTGAAATAGTGATCCCTGTGGGCCATACAAAGGTGAAATCTAGAGGGTAAAAGAACACAATAGAGGGGCTAGACAGATGGCTTAGCAGTTAAGAACACTGGCTGTTCTTGCAGAAGACCCGGGTTCGAATCCCAGCACCTACAGGGCAGCTAACAAATGTCCGTAACTCCAGTTCCAGGGATCCAACAGCCTGTTCTGCCTGCCGTGGGCATTGTGTGACACAGGTGCACTTACCTACATGCAGGCAATTCACACATACACATAAAATAAAAATAATAAATAGAATATTAAAAAAAAAAGGAACACAGTAGAGGAAGAGGAGATGGCTCAGTGTGTAAAGCATTTGCCATGTGGGCATGAGGACCAGAGTTCAGATCCCTAGCACTCATGTAACTACCCAAAATCCCAGTGCTAGGGAGGCAGGGGATTTCTCGGGCAAACTTCTAGCTAGACTAGCCAATTTGATAGCTCTGGGTTCAAGTGAGGGACTTTGCTTTATATATAAAACAGAGAGTGGTTGAGGAAGACTATCTGATATCAACCTCTGGCCTCCATGTATGTGACCCTTACACACATGAGCATACATATACATATACACCTGCCAAAAAAAGTAATGATCTTAAAAACCAACACAACATATTCCCCTTTATAGTCAGACAGGCTGTATCTCTGAGCTGACCATCTGGTATTGGAGCGGTAGATTTGAAGTTGGGCATAGGGTGCCCAATTTGTGGCATTTCTTGAAGACATCTTGCTATCAGCACTTCAGACACAGAAGTCTTCAAGTCAGAAGCCACTGACACCATCTAGGAAGGGACCTCACATCTTTGCGCAGCATCCCGGGCCAAGGATATCCTGTGCATCTATCCACATATGAGAAGGAACACTAAAAATGCCGAGACAAAACCAGTTGCTATGGTCACTGTCAGTTAGAGAAAGGCTGTGTTAACAGGTACCTCGGGTAGGAAAGATCATTTTAAAAGGATGGTCTTTTGATAGTTTTTAAAAATATTTTATTTATTATTTTTATTTTATGTGTATGAGTGTATTGCTTGCAGGTATGTGAGTCCACCCATGTTGTGCAGTGCTGTGGAGGTCAGAGGAGGGCTTCGGATTCCCCTGGAACTAGAGTTAAGGACGGTTCGTAGCCGCCATGTAGGTGCTGGTAATTGAACCCGGGTCCTCTGCAAGAGCAGTCAGTGCTCTTAACCACTGAGCCATCTCTCCAGCCCCCTTGATAGTTTTTAAAAATTCCATTAATTCTTATTTTTCACATCTTTACTAAGAACCAGACCAACTTATTAGGGACTACTCAGCCAGTTGATCTTTCTTTGGCATGTAATTGATTTGGATGTACCCCTCTCTCTGTCTAATGCACATGCATACATATATATGTAGGTATTGTTTTGGGGAAGTCACAAAAATATATTAAAATAGCTGTCATCTCCTTTAAACTAGTCTCCCTTCCCAGTGCTCCTTGCCTACCACTCATCAAGACTTTAAAAGAAAAAGATGCTCAGGGCAGAAAAACAGAATCACCCTTGCTGCAGCCTAGGGTCTAGGGGTCTCTCTAGGTTAGGAGTGTAGTACAGGGCAGCCAACAGCCTTTATATGCTCATTGCTACCATTAGCAAGAGGACCCCTGGGAGGCCAGAAGTGGATTTGGCTGGGTGTAGCCGATGGTCAGGCCTTGCTAAGGAAAAGAACAGCGAAAAGAAGGAAAAAGAGGGAGAAAGAGAGAGATGTTACCACAGTAGAGGAGAGGCAAAGGAGTGAGGGCAGTCTTGGGCTAGGGAGAAGGGAGCCCCTCCAGGTGATACCTCTCTTTGTAGGGGCAGAGGGACAGAAGGGGGTAAGGCAGCAGATGCTGCTAAAAGAGGAGAGGGGAGCTGCATAAAAGGGAAAGGATATTTGGTATTAGGGAGAGGCAGAAAAGGGGGATCTGAAGGCCATGGCTGGTGAACAGAGAACAGGGCAGTAGTAGAGAAGGCAGAATCTCTGAGCTTGGAACCAGTGTGAACAATTGAGGGAGATAAGCTGAGAGTATCATTTGGAGCTGGCGGGGTAGGTGGAAGGGCTGGGACTGGCCTTGACTGGGCCCTGTCCCTGATTGAGTCTTCAGAACCTTCACTGCAAGACAAAGCTGCAGCTTGGCGTTGTCCCAAGCCAAGTCCTCATTCATCTCTGGGGCGGCCCCCAAGTGGCTGAAAACTCTTAGGAGCTTGTTTCTGGTTGTGTTTTGGTTTCTGAGGCAGTCAAACATGGATTTCCTTTGGAAGCCTTTAGCCTGCTGCCACTGCTCCAGGATCTTGAGAGAGCAGAGGTGGTACCCATGAACATGTAGGTGACATACTTCTCTAGATAGGCAGTGACCAGGCACTGCTTGCTGGAAACAGCCCAGCTCTTCTCCTTCCTGTGGGCAAGAGCAGGACAGTCTTGGCCCTGACTCTTTTTTTCCTGCAGTTTTCCTCAAAAACAAAGTTCCCCTGGTTCCAAGGCCCTTTTGAGTATTTGCTTTGCACTAGGAACTGAGAATAGGCACATCTTAGTGACTTCTCATACTCTAGTTCACAGCTTACATGGACTCACACCCTCCTTTTCCTCCCTCGCAGCAGCTCCCACTGTCCTACTTACTACTACACTTTTTTATATTTTATCTTATTTTGTTGTTTTATATTATGTATTTTTTAGTTTAAAATGGCAGGCATTTTGCTAACAGCACCTGTGTTATCCTCTTTGTGCTGGGCATATGTGTCTGTAGCCTAAGTGCTGTATTTTTTATGTTCTGAACAGAGTGAATATAGGGTTAAGGCTAGGGGGTAGATAGCAGATAATCAACACAGGAGGGGCTTGGTGCACTTTAAGAAAAGTGTCAGCAGTGCTGAGAATGTAGCTGTACTGTGCTTGCCTAGCGTGTACAAAGACCTGGATTAGATCTCCAGCACTGCATAAACTGGGTGTAGTATTGCATACATGTAATCCCAGGACTGAAGGAGTTGGGGGGAGGAGGGGAGGTGGAGGCAAGAGGATCAGAGAATGACTACAAGTTCAAGGTCATTCTCAGCCATATAGCAAGTTTGAGGCCAGCCTGGGCTATATGAGACTCTGTCTCAACCCCTTCCCCATACCCCACACCCCCCAAAAAAAAGAGAAAAAAGGAAAAGCCTCAGCAGTGGAAGACGTTGATTCTGTTTTTGATGGAGATTTGAAGAATTGAAACATAAGAGAAAAAGAATGTTTTGTAAAAGGCCTTAAACCATTGATAAGTTAGTTCAATGCCATATTAGTTTATACAGATAGATACAAATAAATTTATACATACAGATACAAATTTTGGATTTTTATAAGAAAATAATTCTACTTAATCCAAGTGTGGTAGACATGGCTGAGTTCAAGTACATGGGAAGTGGAGGCAGGAGAATCCAGAATTCAAGGTCCTCCTTGCCTACACAGTGAGTTTTAGGCCAGGCTGTATTATTTGAGACCCTTTTTCCAAAAGAAAAAGGAGAAAATTCTATTTAATTGAAATTTGACTCTTTTCAAAAAACTAAAGATTCATTTTTAAAGGATGGAATTTACATTATTTATTTATATTTTATGTGTATGAGTTTATTGCCTGCAATATGTAAGTGCATCCATGTCATACAATACCTGAGGGGGCCAGAAGAGGGCATTAAATCCCCTGGAACTAGAATTAGGGATGGTGGGTGCTGGAAACTGAACTTGGGTCCTCTGCAGGAATCACCAGTGCACTTTAACTGCTGAGCCATTTCTCCAACTCCCCACTTTCCCCCAAACCCCATTGAACTTAGAGCCTTGTGCATGCTAGGCAAGTACTCTATTACTACATCTTCAGCTCCCTCCTGTTTTTTTTTTTTTTTTTTTTTTAAAGAGACAGGATCTCTCTTTGTAGCCCAGGTTGACCTCCAGTTCATGATTCTTCTACTTTTGTCTTCTGAGTGCTAAAATTACCCTTGAATGGTTTTTGACATATTTTTCCCATTCATCTCATGGTCAACCCAAATTTTGACTATAATAATAGTCTCTTCATCTATGCCAGTGTACCTGTTCTTAGAAGAATGTAAGGACAAACAAATCGGTTGAGAGCTGGATGTGGTAGCTCATATCTATACTTCTAGCTGAGGCAGGAGGATTTCCATGAATTTGATGTCACCCTGAGGTACAGAGTAAGACTCTGTCTCAAAAAAGAACCAACCACCCAAACGAAACAACCGAAACAATAACAATGTAAAATGTCTGCTGACTACTTTAATTTTAGTTTGAAGGCATGCATAAGAATGAAGCAGTGAGCCAGCAGCTTCATGGTTTGCAGAAGGAAGTCAAGCAGCTACAAGCAGAAGCTGCTCAGCCACCGTCACTTAATGTTGTGGAAGCCGCTGTGCATGCAGAAAACTTGATTACGTAAGTCCTGATGGCATACTTTCTTTTTTAATATTTTATTCATTTATGTGTATGAGTGTATTGTCTGCATGTGTGTAAGTGCACCCATGCAGTGCAATGCCCGTGTGGAGATCAGAAGAAGGTGTCGGATCCTATGGAGCTAGAGCTATGGACGGTTGTTAGCTGCTATGTGAGTGCTGGGATTTGAACCCTGGTCTTCTGCAAGAGCAGTAAGTGCTCTTAACTGCTGAGCTATCTCTCCAGCCCCCCCCCCTTTCTTTTTTAACTGATGGCATACTTTCAAATATGGTTTTGTTGGTAATTATCATTCATGCTACATTACCTCCCCCCTTGCATAAGACAACTAATAGTTAGAAGCCAGTAAACTAGGGCCTTTGAGTCAAATGTGGCCAGCTGTCTGTTTTTATAAATGTTTTTATTGGAAGATAGTTGTCTCCATTATTCACAATTGCTATGACTTACAAGGTCCAACAGTAGAGTTGACTAGCTATGATTGTTGCTTTATGGTCCACAAAGCATAAAATATTTCCTTTTTAGCCTTTTGCAGAAAAGTTTGTACAACCCTGAATTGTGAGTTGATGCAGTGAGTTGAAAGTCAATGATGGAGGGATTTAGTGTTAAAGTTTACATCAGAGACATTTTTACATGGGATGTCATCATTGCCAACTCAGATTATAATAAAGTTCACTGTGTAGGAATGGGCATTTTTAAGTGTAGCTGTTAGCTTGCATATGGCCATTGTGGGTTTTTTTGGGTCGGGGGGAGCTCCTGGCTTAATTTCACCATTCCTAAAGCCAGTAGGACATAGCTTGGGAGAGGACTCCACATGCTGGTACCAGCAACTGATCCTATTGGTAGACTGGCATGGTATGTGGAGGACATTTAGTCCTTGTATGGATTGAATTGAGGTTCGGGAAGGATTGGAACAGATCAGTTGAACCACAGGCTGATACTTCTGTCACTGGGGAGATACTTGAAAAAGTGAGTATTGGAAGAGATCTTTAAGTAAAATCAGTCCTGAGTGTGGTAGTGCATGCCTTTAATCCCAGCACTTGGGAGGCAGAGGCAGGAGAATCTCTGTGAGTTCAAGGCCAGTCTAGTCTACATAGTTCTATGCCAGTGGGGGCTACAGGGAGACCCTGTCTCAAAAAGACCAAAAAATTAATAAATAAAAGCAGTACAAATTCAAGTTACTATAAATTACATACAAAATATGAAAAATTTTAGTAAGTGTAAGAATGTTAATTGATCTTGTGAAAATAGCTGGTTTTTCATTTTCCCTAGGCAAGTATAAAATCATTGCATTGAAAATGAGTTGCTGGGTATTTGAAAGACAATTTACCACATGAACTATTTTAAAGTGTCAGTTGCACGGGACCCTGGGGACTCATAAATACTGCTGAGGAATGTAGGATAGCAAAGAGACACTTGAGAATATGGGTTTTTTTTTTTTACTGCAGATCAGTATGTGCTCTCATTCTCCCACAGGGCCTTAGTGAATGCTTATAAGTTGCAGCCTACACCTGGGGTTCAGAAGGTTGGTATTAGCCTTTTCTTTACTGTTGTGGATTTTGTCAGCGATGAGACCCAGCGTCATCCTCCCACAAGGCAGTTCTTTACTTCATGCATTGAGATCTTGGGACAGGTAAGAGTACTCCCGATGTTAACCATGTTCTGTTACAATGAACCCCTATGGTATCTTGAGTAGATATAGTCAGTGTAGACCTCAAACTATATTGCAGGTTCAGAGTCTTGTCTAAGTCAGAAGTCTTTTAAAAATTGTTGATTTCCCAAGATGTTGTTAGAATCGTTAGTATAGAATGTTGCTTCTTATAAAGAGAGATTAATTTTTTCATATTTGAAGTCTAGGGAAACATCAGAGTCCCTTAAAGACTGTTAACAACATTACTGAATTTCCTTTTCATTTGTAAGATACTTTCCAGTTCACTTTTTGTTTTGTCTTTACAGTGACTATGTGTGGTTGGTAACATTCCTATCTTGAAAACGAGCAAACAGAGCTGGGTCTCCTGATATAAGCTTCTATCCCAGCTACTTGGGATCCCAAGTTAAAATGCCTCCCTGGGCTACAGAATGAGGCCGGCCTGGGCAACTTAGTAAGACCCTGTGTTGTAAAATTAAAAAAAAAAAAAAAAAAAAGGCTGGAGATATGGTTCATTGATAGAATACTTGCACAGTATTACTTTAAAAAAAAAAACAACAGCAAACTGGTCTTTAAAAGATGAAGTAACTTCCCTAAAGAATGTGTGGGCTGGGCTGGAGATACGGCTCAGCAGTTAAGAACACTGGCTGCTTTTGCAGAGGACCCAGGTTTGATTCCCAGTACCCATATGATGGCTAGCAACTGTCCTAACTCCAGTTCCAGGGTATCTGACTCCCTCTTCTGGCCTCTGTGGGCATTGCACAACATGGGTACACTTACATACATGCAGGCAATACATTTATACACATAAAATATTTATAAAAAGGAAAACAAAAAAGAAGAAAAAATTTTCAAAATCTTTTCAAAATTCTAACCACCTAGACATACTAGATATATAGCTAGCATTTCATTTGAGTTTGTCATGTGTATGTAAATGTATCATTTTTACCTATACATGGCTGTGTAGAGATACAAAAAAAAAAGACACATGTTATTTTGTGATCTCTGTTCATTTATGCATATCTTTTAGACATTTTCCCATGCTAATAAATACAGGCCTGTGTCATCACTTCAAAAACTGGTTCTATGTTATAGACATGTTGTACTGTATTGACCTCACATTCTTTGGGTTGTTATTTGGATAGGGTCCCCCCCCACCACCACCAATAAGGCTAGGATAATTATTTTTATATTTTCTTTAGTATTCTGTATTAAAGGGATTTGACATAATTGTATCTTTTCTCTGTAGTATTGCCCTACTGGAAAGTTTTGCTCATATTTATACTATTATAATAGTTTCTGAGTTTATCATTCTCTGTATCAGAACACTAGTAATTACCATTCTTTTTAAAAATTTTGCCCACTTTTTTTTTTTTTTGATGGTGCTAGGTATCTAACCCAGGGCCTTGCACAGGTGAGGCAGGCGCTCTGCTACTAAGCTACATGCCCAGCCCTCAAATTTAGCTAATCTGATAAGGAAAGTAGAATGTCATCACTTTCAAGATCTACATTACTTTCTTTTGTGTATGTGTTGGCATATGCTCACATGTGCGTGGGGGCTGGAGGGAGATGCTGTGTGTTCTGTTACCTCACTTCCTGACTTATTCTCTTGAGATAGGTTCTCTCACTGAACTTCACCCTACAGTGCTGAGCCTCTAGCTATACCCGGCTTCGATGAGATGAGGGTGTTTGGGATTTGAACTCAGGTCCTCATGCTTGTCAAGCACTCTTACCCTGAGTTATTTCCCTAGCCCTGTATTGCTTTTAAGTTCTATCAGACTCTGTGTCTTTTCACATATTTATTGGTGCTGTGTGTGTGGGGGGGGTGTAAGTTGCTGACTCTTGTTCTTTGTTGGAATTTTTTGGGTTTTGATTCGTTTGAAAGAGCTCTTCAGACTGTTACTAACCTGGTATTTGGAAAGCACTATAAGTACATTTTTCTAGTATGTCGTTTCTCTTTCATTTTATGGTTTTATGATTGCTTATTGAAGTTAAAATTTTAATATAGTCAAACCCATGAGCCTAGCCTGTTTTTGTTTGTGATCAACCTTACCAAAGCCTTCCTGACCCTGAAACTGCTTAAAGATTTACTTATATTCTAATGCATTTTACCATTGAATTACATTAAAATGAGATGACAGCGTGAGTAGATATAAATTTTGAAAGTTAGCCTTTTAAACATATTAAAGACACATCTCAATAAGGTCTGTGGTCTAGAAGTTTATTTATTGTAATATGGGACTTGGATATTTAAGTAATTGTGGTAGGTATATTGATAATTTCTGGACTCAGATTACCCCACTGTCATCTACATTGGAAGTAACATGCTTATCTTTAGATCTTTTGGTTATTGTATTTTCATATACAAAAAAAAAATTTCACCTGAAGGTTAACTGCTTAAATAAAGAGAAGGGGAGAATTGAGTGGCAGCTCCCCTTTGTATTTTCAAGGTGTTTATCAGCGGCACTAAATCAGAATGCAGAAAAGTACTTCAGACTGTTTTGAAGAACAGAAGGCTCTGCTCTCTCTTGTCTCCTTTCTTCACCCCCAATGCTGCACCGGCCGAGTTCATACAGCTGTATGAGAAAGTGGTGAAGTTTCTGAGTGAGGACAACAGTGATATGATTTTCATGCTGCTCACCAAGGTATGAATGATTCAGTCCTGCGGCTGTGAAGTAGAACTGATTGCTTCTTCCCTCTCCACAGAGCGCAGGAGGTTTGGTTCCAGGTGACCATAGGCCAATAGGCCTTTCACATGTTTGTGTGATCTTTGAATAGCCTGATCTCACAGTTCCCCTTTGGGCGTAGGATACTGATTGTTATATAGACAGTTTTACTGCACGTAGTATAAATCTCCAAAGGATCTTCTTCCCAAGCTGTCTTTAAAATCTTAGTACAGTTTTGATAATACTCATATTAGTAGTTTAATAATCGTTTTTAAAAATTTATCCTGAGTGGCTGGAGAGATGGCTTAGCAGTTAAGAGCACTGACTGCTCTTGCAGAGGACCTGGGTTCGATTCCCAGCACCCACATGGCAGCTACGAACCGTCCTTAACTCTAGTTCCAGGGGAATCTGAAACCCTCTTCTGACCTCCGCGGCATTGCACGACACGGGTGCACTCACATACATGCAGGCAATAAACTCATACACATAAAATAAAAATAATAAATAAAATATTTAAAAATTTGTTAAAATTTATCCTGAATTTGTGCCCAAATTGTGTTCGATAAGTGTATCAGAATCGCTCATATTTAGAATAAGCCAGATCTAAGTAAGATCCTCTTACCATTACTTTGAATAGAATATTGACTGTATGAGAGCAAGACAATAAATGTACTTAACCAGCTAAGAATTTCAATACCTTCAATTATATTCTCTGTCATTTATGAAGTAATAAAACTTTGGCATTTTTTAGGGCCAGGAGACTTATCTCAGCCTCTTGCAGAGGTGAATATGTTTTATCTCATAGGGCATTGGGTGATAAGACCAACAGTCTGAATTTTTATTAACTGAGGCAGGAAACTAATGCAGCAAAAACATGGCTATTAAATCAAGACAGCTCATAAAGTGGTTGCTTGATTGTGTCGCTGTAACAAATGAAGGGCTGCTATGATGTTCTGATCCTGGTCTCAGAGAAGGAACATTGTAATGAGACAGAAATATATGGAGCTTTCAGAACTAAAATGGATTGTAAACCAATAATGAATGAATGGTTACTCACTAAAAGTTTTTGATTTTGGTATTTTTTTTGGTTTTTGGTTTTGGTTTTTTTTTTCTTTTTGGTGGTAGTGGTAGGAATCAAACCCAGGGCCTTGAGCATTGAAGGTAAATATGCTCTATCTCTGAGTACTTCCTCATCCCTCACAGTTAAGATTTTTTTTCCCCACAAAGGAAGTGTGTTGAGCTAAGGAAATTGCCCCTGAGATCCCAACAGTGAACTAGAGGTGGTGGCATCATGGTGCTCATCAGTTACATCCAGTCATATGCTTGCATGCACATTTTGGTTTCTATTTTTATGGAAAGGTACTGTAAGATAGTCTTTGATTTTTATATTTGCACAAACTTCTCTCTGCTTCACTTAATTTTCTAGTGTAAATTAAACTGCTTCCTGTTTCTGTTTCTTTTTAGTTTGATCTTAAGCAATGGTTGAATGCCACTAAACCTCCTCTGTCTGACCGTACCAGGCTTCTGGAGTCCATTCATTTGGCACTTACTGCCTGGGGCCTTGAACCAGATGAAGATATTTTGATGCCATTTAATCTTTTCTGTAAGCACTGGACTTACCTTCTTCTCTACCAGTTCCCTGACCAGTATAGCGATGTTCTCAGGCTGTTGATGCAAAGTAAGTGTCTTCATTTAATTAGGATGAATAAGATCTCAGTGAATATTTAATGCCACATTTACCACTCTATAGATATCATCCAAAAATCTAAAAATGGAACCAGTGAGATGGCTCAGCAGGTAATGTACTTGCCATGTAAGCCTCTTGACTTGAGCTCTATCCCTGGAACCCACTGTAGAAGGAGGGAATTAACTCCTGAAACTTGTCCTCTGTTTTTCACATGCATTCTTTGTCACTTGTGCACCTGTACACGTGCACACACAGACATACAGAAATAATAAAAGAATAAAGTAAAATTTTTTAAATGGAAAAATGATATGCATACAGGAGTTGAAATCACTAATTACCTAAAGTGCTTAACAAGCAGTTACCCCATGTTCCCTCTGTAGATGGTCAGTAGTTGTCTGGTGGTGGAATAGGTCCTGATTGGGCATGGCAACTCTGCCTTTGGTGTTGGAGTCTACAGTCATGCATCCACTGCTTTTCCTTGGCTTTGCACTTGTCTTGAGGTGGAGTGAGGTGGGCCTACTTACTCTGCGGACAACAGATCTAGTAACGAAAGGATGTTTTTGTTTCTTTTTAAATTAATTTTTTGGGTAGCATACAAAGAAATGGGTTTCATTGTGATATTTGCATATGTATTTTGTCATTATCCTTTGTTCTTACTCTCTCCCCAGCACATACTGCTCTCCCTCATTCCTCCTCTCCCCATCTTGTGGGTCCCACGTTCCTCCTCTCAGGTGGTTCTCTTTTCTGCTTTCCTGACTTGGCACAGCCTGTTCTCTTCTCTTCTCTGCCCCTTCCCTTTAGATCTCCACTTCTTCATGGCACACACACACACACACACACACACACACACACACACACACACCCCATATACATTAAATCCAGATTCTGTGTATGAGAAAGATTGTGTATGTAATCTTTCTCTTTCTGAGTCTGACTTTTTTGGGGGGGGTCTTTTTGAGACTGGGTCTCCCTGTAGCCCCACTTGGCCTGGAACTCAACTGTGTAGACCAGGCTGGCTTGGAACTCACAGAGGTCCACCTGCCTCTGCTTCCCCAGTGCTGGGATTAAAGGTGTGTACCACCACACCCAGCCTGAGTCTGATTTATTTCATTTACTGCAATGAGCTTCAGTTCCATCCATTTTTATAAGAATATCACAGTTTCATTCTTCTTTACAGCTCAATACAATTCTATCGTGTATATGTGCCACATTTTCTTTATTTTTTGACATCTTGGCTAGATCCATATCTTGGCTATTGGGGATAGTACAGCAGTAAACGTGGATGCGCAAATATCTCCATGGCGTGCTGACTTGGACTACTTTGGGTGTGTATCCAGGAGTGGTATAGCTCAGAGGAGTGTTAAGTTTCATATTCAGGTTTTTCAGAAACTCCTTCCACAGTAGCTGTACCACTATATTTCTACCTGTAGCAGATCATAAGGGTTCCTCTTTCCTATCAAAGGATCACATTTAATATGTCCCTCAGTTTCTCTGTAGTTTCATAAGGTGGGTACAATACCCCCTCCCCCAAATTTTGGGTTTTTGTCCTTAGTGAATGCCATATTTAGACTCCTCAAGAGAAGAGCAAAATTAACCTTTTCATATTCCCACCATTTTTGTCCACCACTTTCTGCAAGTTTTCATAAGAGTGTTGGATTGGAGGCCAGAAAAAGAATAGCGTCTATGCTTTAACTTATTTATTATTTATTATTTTTATTTTTGTTTATCAGTATGAATATGTATTGCCTACATGTGTGTAAGTGCACCCATGTTGTACAATGCCTGCAGAGATCAGAAGAGGGCATTGAAGTCCCCTGGAATTGGAGTTAAAGATGGTTGTTAGCTACCATGTGGGTGCTGGGAATTGAACCTGGGTTCTCTGCAAGAGCAACCAGTGCCCGTACCCATTGAGTCATCTCTCCAGCCCCAAGTCTATTGCTTTTTTAACTTTTGGAATTTTACTAGGCCATAATTTTATTGGACTTTGATGACTAAAATAGTATTTACTGTTTTTCACATAAATTTCATGGTGTTTGTTAATGTAATGGAACATACACTTTTGCTTTATACCAAATCTTTGTGTACCTTAATAGAAATTGTGTAATGGATTACTTGAAGGGTTTTGAAATGTGTAGCCTCTCATTTTCAGAGTATTCCAAGCTTTCATTGTTTCCTACATAGACAAACTGCAGGTGTTTATAGAATGGAATAGGAATAGAGAAATGTAGTTGTACAAAATTTAATGAATGAATATATGGATGATCCTGGTTGCATAGGCCTGTAATCCCAGCACTTAGAAGGCCTCTAGAGGCAGGAGGATGCCGAGTTCAAGGCTAGCTTAGAAAAGAGAGTAAAACCTTGTATCAGGAAGAAAAGAAAAAAAAACTGGACTGGGGAGATGGTTCAGCAGGTAAAGGTACTTGGCTGGCAAGCCTGACAGCTTGAGTTCCATACCCACAGTCTATATGATGGAAGGAGAGAACTCACTCCACGTTGTCCTCTGACTTCACATGTACACATATGAAGCTTGCATGCATACACACACACACACACACACACACACACACACACTAAATACCTTTAAAAAAAGAAAAATGGAAAGGAGGAAAAAAAGAGTTGGCCCAATGAATATGTGTATAACTAATTTTAATTTTACATTTTCAAAATTTACCTAAATATGTATTATGCGTTCTTCCTGGAGACCTTTTAAAGAGAATATAAGCTGTTTTTTTATAGGACGCCATTGACTTGTATTTAGCAGAGAATGTCTACATATGAAAAAAGTAGTTTAAAGGCTTAACTCCAGTTCCGTGACCCACAGCTTCCTGGTTTCCCTTCCCTCCCTATCTACCATGCTGTGTTCCCAGGATTCCATCCTTGGCTCATCTCCCTGTTTTCCCTGTATTGTTATCTTCTAGGCCTGCATGATTTCCACACCAGTAGCTTGATTCCTACCACTGCCCTAGGATCCAGACCACAGTAACCACTGGACACTTCACTGTCTTCTTTGCTTCAAACATCACATATTGTTACTGACTTCATAACCCTTCCTTTCAGATCTAAGCCTGTTAGGCTGTTGGATTCCTTCTTCCCCTCTGAGTAGAAAGCACTGATGTTTTATCCTGAAAGATGAGAGGTTTATAAAGAGCACAGTTGGGATTACAGTTATTTTTGTGTGTTACCCCTGGGTCTTGGTTTAGTTTTGTCGATTGTTAGGAGTGGAAGGAGACTTTCTCACAACAGGCTGGACTGGAGTTGCATTCTGCACCTTTTCCTGTCACTGTTGTTGCTCTCATACCGGATAGCTCTTACCCTCCAACCAAGAAATTGACACCTTTACCATAACTCAGTCACTGTAGGAGTGTAGGATTCCCCCCTCATTCCTGCTCCAGTGGCTTCAGCAGAGATCACCCCAGCTCTGAGTTACTAGGGAAGCCCAGTGCCTGCTGACTTCTTTCAGTGGATTCTCTTTACTTTGGTCTCCACACACCAAGGTTTGGTTTGGCTTTTCATTGTTATTATTGGTTTGGATTTTCATTATTATTGTTGTTGCGTTGTAAAATTCACATGTTCTTTGATTCAAGCTGAAAAGACGGTTTGGGAAAGACTCTGACTTGGTCTCTATGTCCCTCTCAGGTTCTGCAGAGCAGCTGCTGAGTCCCGAGTGCTGGAAAGCCACTCTGAGAGCCCTGGGCTGCTGTGCCACCAGCAGCCAGCAGGGAGCAGCTTCTATGGAGAGCACGGTGCTTCAGAGTGCCTCAGAGGTTCTCCTGTCTGACAAGCAGGTGTTTGGCTTTTGGTCTCTGGTAGCTTTGCACCTTTTTTTCTTTTTCCATTTCCATGGTGTATATTTTTAAACAATTGGAGCACATTTAAATGTATCTAAAAGCTTTATGTGTATTTTCTGTAAGAGCTCCATAGTTTTCTTTGACCTTTGCTGCCTCTATGTCCCCTTTGCCTAGACTGTTCTTTCTCATGCCCCTGAATCTAATTTATCCCCACCTGAGCTATCCATCTTTCCCTTTCTACCTCAGCACATCTCATTTGGTCCTGGGACCATGTGGGTTTCCAGGTCAGGTCCCAAAGAGCCCTCCCTAAGTTTTGCCAATTTTATCTATTATGGGTTCACATAAAAAATTATTTGAAGCCAGCTGTGGTGGCACACACCAGTAGTAATAGCATTCGGGAGGCAGAGGCTAGAGTACTATGAGTTTGAGGCAGCCTGGCCTACACAGTGAGTCCCTGTCTCATAAAAAAGAAACCAAGGGGCTAGAGAGATGGCTCAGCAATTGGGAACACTGGGTGTTCTTGCAGAAGACCCAGGTTTGAATCCCAGCACCCACATAGCAGCTAACAACTGTCAGTAACTCCAGTTGCATCCTCCGTGGGCATTGCATGACACAGGTGCACTTACATACATGCAGGCAATACATACATACACATAAAATAAAAATAATAAAAAGAGAAAAAGAAAACAAAATAGGAGAAAAAAGAATTGATTTGAACTGCTTTGGAGTTTAAAACTCAAAATTTTCCCCCCGTATGTTTTCTACCTTTTTGCAATTCTTAAAAAGTTAAAAATTTGCTAAATCCTCATCAATCTGTATAATATTTGCTAAAGGGCTTGGAGGCTTGACTTAGTATGCATAAGGTTCTAGATTTCATCTCCAGCAACAGAAAAAACAAAGTGGGGGGATAGGGAATACCATGCTCAATTAAACATTTAGTAAGCAGTTTTTGATTTGTCATCTCTTCAGGTAATGGAGACTATACAGTGGCTTTCTGACTTTTTTTATAAGCTTCGGTTATCCAAGTTGGACTTTAGAAGCTTTGGTTTATTCTCAAAATGGAGTCCTTACATGGCTGATGTGAAGACGTTTTTGGGATATCTTGTGAAAAGACTGATTGACTTAGAAATGGCCTCCTTAGCCCAAGACCCATCTGTCAGCAGCAAAGCAGGTAGTGTTTCGAGAACAGTGTGGGGCCTGCCCTTCCATTAGAAGAGATTTGAAATACATACACTAGGAGATTCTTATCAAATGTTAAGGAGAGGAATTAGAAAATATATGGTTTAGGAGTGACCCCATATGTGTGTTATACCTATGACACATTCCACAGTGAACATAGCTGCTTGCTGCAGCTCGCCTCTGCCCCTCCTTGGTGGGGATGTGGTACAAAGAGATAGGTTTCTCTTTCCATTTCCTCCTTCCTGTCATCTATCTAGCTAAGGACAGCATTCTGAACATGAAGCAGCTATCTTGGAATTTATGTAATAAAATTATCTATGACATTGTGTTGTAATAAAAATTCAACTTAAATTCATTATAGCAAATGAGAATGCAAACATACAGTTATACTAAGCATGCTGTTTCTGTATCAACATAGGCTTGTGTACAAGTAGTGAAGAGTAGATTTTCTATAAAATATTACTAATGATATTAGTAATGGGATAAGCTCATTTCTTAGTTCTAACAATTGTACTATTTCAGTGCTGAGATCTCTACATTCACTGGTCATTCAGCTGTTTAGACCATGGATCCTGGTTTTAGAGGACAGTGAAAGGTAAATAGTTTTTAAATACTCAGATTTCCTTGAAATTTATTTAAAGTTCTAATATTTGGTATAGGTCATGCTGATTTCACATGTCTGGCTTTATCACATGTGAAATAAAATGTCTTCAAAAGCTTGAATTTGATCCCCAGACTCATATGAATATCTTACTCAAGTCTTTCAGCTGGTTGGTTACAACCAAAGCTGGACCAGGGCTTAGGTCTTTGTCTCAAGGTTCTTTGCATTAACCCATGCTTCTTGAGCCCTTAGAGACAATCTGAAAGGCTCTAGGTCTTTATTTTGCTAGAGAGCTATCCTTGAATAATGTGTAAGCTTCAAGATTTTGTAGTTATTGTATATAGACTGGCCACAGTGCAAGCTTGGAAATTTGTTGATTTCTAAGAATTAATGGAACTTATTTTGATAGTGAACTGTCTAGCTAAGACTCAGAAGTTCATATGAAGAAGTTCTTTGGGGTGAGGGGCTAGAGAAATGGCTGAGCAGTTGAAAGTGCTTGCTGCTATTACAGAAGATTGGAGTTCAATTCCCAGCATCCATATTGGGTGGCCTACAATTACCTACTCAAACTCCAGGGGATCTAACACCCTATTCTGGCCTCAATAGGCACCCCACACACACATTGAACATTCAGACATGCACACATACATATAAATAAAAAAATTTTTTTTGGTCTTTTTGAGACAGGGTCTCCCTGTAGCCCCAGCTGTCCTGGAACTCACTAGAAGTTCTTTGGTTATTTCCTGTGTTTATTTTTTATTTATTTATTTTTATTTTATGAATGTTATGCCTGCATGTATGTAAGTACACCTGTGTCATACAATGCCCATGGAGGACAAAGGGGGCGTTGGATCCCCTGGAATTGGAGTTACGGACAGTTGTTATCCACCATGTGGGTGCTGGGATTTGAACCTGGGTCTTCTGCAAGAACAGCCAGTGCTCTTAACCACTGAGCCATCTCTAGCCCCTTCCTGTGTTAATTTTGAGGCTTTTGTTATATAAATATATATATGGTTTTTTTGAGACAAGGTCTTCCTGTAGCTCCAGCTGGCCTGGAACTCTCTATGTAGACCAGGCTGGCCTTGAACTCACAAAGATCCACCTGCCTCTGCCTCCCAAGTGCTGGGATTAAAGGCATGCACCACCACGCCTGGCCTCTTAATTTTTTTTAATGTTTTGGGTAGAGAAATTTTTTGTTGATCTGGTAAGATGGTTCAGTGGGTAAAAGTGCTTGCCTCTAATCCTGAAGACTCAAGTTCAATCCCTGGAACCCAAATGTTAGGGGAGAACTGACTAAATTGTGTTATGACCTCTACATGCATACCCACATGCATGCACGCGTGTGCGTGCACGTGTGCGCGCGCGCGCACACAGACACACACACACACACACTCAAGTAAAATAAACGTGGGTCTGGGAAGATGATTGAGTGGTTAAGTGTACTTGCTATTCTTCTGGAAAGAGGACTAGAGTTTGGCTCCCAACACCCATGTAGGGTGGCTTGCAACTGCCTGTGACTCCAGCTTCAAGGGATCCAACAGTCTCTGTCCTCTCTGGGCACCTGCATGCACATGCACACACAAAGACACATAAAAATAAAATAAATCCTAAAACCACATGTAATTAATTTTTTTGTTGAAACCACCTTAAGGTATAAGGCATTGAATATAAAGAGATGTCAATTTAAGGGTTATTTTTCTTTTCTTGATAGTGTCCTTTGAACTATATCCCTCTCCCACACACATAGTGGGGATTGAACATAGTTGTGAATGCTAGACAATTGCTGTACCATTAAGCTAATATTCTCAGCCATTTAAGGGCTATTTAGATTAACATACTTCAGAATCTTAATTGTACTGGAATAAGGGTAAGACGAGAAGTGAACTTTTATGGTTTATGTTATGTGCTACCATTTCCCTCCAGGAATTTACAGCCTTTGAACTGGCATAAATGTGTTATACTACTTAGCACAGGATTTTCTCAGACTTAGTTCCTGGAAATGAAAATGCATAGTTACTCAACTCAACTTTGTGCATCTTCATTTCTAAGCACGTATTTCTTTTCTTTAAAGTAGCCAACAGCGACATTACCCCTGGCTAGAGAGTGATGCTGTGGTGGCCTCCAGCATTGTGCAGCTGTTCACTGACTGTGTTGACTTACTGCATGAGAATTTTAAAGGTAGGAAGACATCATGTCTGGCTAGCGTTCATTTTACCTTCCTTAGTCATTCAGTCATGCTTTTATCTGTGTGTTCCTCTTTTAATATTAATTGGTAGGCAAAGAAACTGTGACCGAAGAAAGGCCCCTGATAAATTTGAAGCTTTTTTTAAAAGATTTTTTTAATACATTTTTTTATTTATTATTTTTATTTTATGTGTATGAGTGCATTGCCTGCATGTATGTGAGTGCACCCGTGCTGTGCAATGCTGCAGAGGTCAGAAGAGGGCATCGGACTCCCCTGGAACTGGAGTCAAAGACGGTTCGTAGCCGCCATGTGGGTGCTGGGAACCGAACCTGGGTCCTTTGCAAGAGCAGTCTGTGCTCTTAACTGCTGAGCCATCTCCCCAGCCCCTGAGTCTTCTTTAAAAAAAATTTATTCATTTTATTTTATGCATATGAATGTGTTTACCCTCTTGTATGTAAGTGCATGCCTGGTGCCTTTGGAGTTCAGAAGCAGGTGTCAGATCCTCTAGAACTGAAGTTATAGACTGTTTTTTAGCCACCATGTGGGACCTGAACCCAGGTCCTCACAAGAGTAGCCAGTGCTCTTAACCACTGAGTCATCTCTCCAGCCCTCCTTTTTTGTCATGTAGTCTCCCTGAGTTGTTTAGATATGGAAAATTTGCAACCCCTTTATTAATATTGCCTAGCCCTGTTTTTTTTTTTCTTTTCTTTTTGAGAAACTTCTGTACAGTTTTCCACAATGGCCATACTAATTTACAACCAGCCCCCAGTAATACATAAGAGTTATTTTTTCTATGTATTCATTGTCTCTAACACTTCCATCTTTGTACTTTTTGTGTATGTGTGTTTGGGGGAGGGGGTGCAAGTGTGCTCAGAGGTCAGTGTCAGCTGTGTACATCTCTCTCTTTTTTTTTAAACAAAGTCTCTTACCGATGCTCACCATTTTGGCTAGACTGGCTGGCCAGCAAGCTCCAAGCTCCAGAGACCTGCTTTCCTCCACCTCCAGTCCAGGGCTACAGGTGCATATTGCCATGCCTGATTCTGGTTCTGGGTTCTGGGAATCTGAACTCAGGTTTTCATAGCAAGCACTTTACCCACTGAGTCATCCTCTCAGTCCCCAACCCATCATCTTTTTAATAAAAGGAATTCTAACAGATATGGTTTAAAATTTTTAAAAAACATTTATTTTACTGTGTGTGAGAGTGAATGTGCATACATATGTGCATACAAGCGTGCCACAGGACATGTGTGGGGATCAGAGGACAACATGTGAAACTTGGTTCTCTTCCATCATATGGGTCCAGGGGTCAAATTACTGTTGTCAGGCTTGGCAGCAAGCACCTTTGCCCACTGAGCCATCTCACCATCCTTCATCATGGTTTTAATTTTAATTTGCATATCTGTAATGCTTAGTGCTGCTTAGCATTTTTTCATGTACCTTTTTAAAGAATTGAGAAATGTATGTAACATTTTTTTTTGAGGAGTGTTGAATTCCTCAAAAGTGCTCAATGAAAGAGGCACTAAATGAGTAAGATTGAGTATGGGGGTGGGGTGGGGGGGTGATGGTGGTGATGGTGAAAAGGCCGAGAAGAAGTTTTGAAGGAAAAAAGCTGAGTACCTTACTGTCTCCTGTTATACAAGTAAGTGAAATGCTGGCTTTTATTATTAATCTGCTAGGGTCCCCTCCCATGAAACTGAAAATCTTGGCATTGAGTAAATATTGAGAATCTTTGATTTTAGACTTTCAATTCAAATTTGTGTTAACTTTTCTATTTTTCTTTCTTTCTCTCTCTTTCTTTCTTTCCTTTTTTCTTTCTTCTTCTCCTCCTCCTTTTAAAACGAAACTAAATGTCTTGAGCTGTATTTTCTTTTGAAATTCTAGACAAGCTGTTGCCAGGTGATGAAGGAGCCCTGCGGTTACACCTGATGCATTATTGTGAAGCATGCACAGCACCCAAGATGCCAGAGTTCATCCTGTTCGCTTTTCATAGTGCATACCAGAAACTCCAGTGGAAGGACCTGCATCCTGATCAGACACTCATGGAGGCCTTCTTCAAGGTTCACTTTTTGCTGGTGCCCCTCCTCACACCTTCATGCCACAGCCTAGAGCGAACTACCTTTAGGAAGTGAGGGGCCTACTCCCTGTGATTGTTCTGCACAGGTTGTGTATGCACACATTCCCTGTTGCCTCCCTGATACAAAGCAGCAGCCCATGGAGATCACGTGTTGTGTTTGTTGATGGATGATTTGAAAACAGCTCTTAGGCCAGTTTTAAAGCTCAGAGACTTTGTCTTTAATGTTGGTTATCTCCTAGTTTTAGAAATAAAGTTCTGTCTTTAGAAATAAATACTGGGTCTTGCTCAGTCTTAGTGTTTATTTTTCTAGGATAGTGTCATTAAAACTACTTGTTGTGAAATATCCAGTGAAAGCAAAATGTGAATTAGTATTCAAGCTTAAAATTTTTTTATTTATGCAAATTAGATGGGAGATATATAACAACTGATGGGACGTCATAACCGTCTTAGAAAGTGCCAAGAAATGAGTGTGTGAGTCTTTACAGTGAAAGTAGCAGTTATAGGTGCCTCAGTGGGAGTTAAATCGAGGAGGAGCTGTTGTTCTTTTTTCTATTTTAGAAATCCCTTAGTAATCTTGGCATGGCTTTTTACAATAGTTTCAGTTCATTTGTTCATTAGTCATTTCATTTGTGTTTTCTTTTAATGTCACATTTATTGTTGACTCACTTTAAGTGCTTTAATTGATACAGATCTGTAATTATTTATGATCAGTAAAACAGTTGTTTATGATAAGGAGAATGTTCTGGAGTCTTTTGGTGTTTTTGTGAAGCCCCACCCATGCTGCTTTTGGCAGCCACTCCTCTGTAGTTGAGGTCCAAGGAAGTTGATCCTATTTAGTAGTGGATTGTTAATCAGCATTATGAACCTGTGGGAGAAAGTTGGCTTAAACACCTGTAATGCAGCATTTTAACTAAGTGAGAGGGCTGCCTTAAGACTAATTAAATAGTGGAACAATCTGACAAGGGATGATGTAGACTCTGTCTTTAAGGGTTTTTTTTTTTTTTTTAGGGATAGATAGTCCTGACCTGCCCAGAAGCTAGGAATCTTTTTAAAACTTTCTGTGTCTCATTAGCATAGTAAAATATGCCTCTTTTGCAAGGCTGATTGGTAAGGCTTGAGAACAGATTATAAAATAATATGAAGAATTGTTTTTTAAGAGGGAGAAGAATTAGTAGAAGTGAATCACCACTAGACTCCATTCATCATGATTTTATGAGTAGAGCTTTTAATACTCATCTTGAAAAGAAAAATTTATGACAGCCCAATTTTATTTCAAGCAAATTAGAAATGTTGAAATAGGCTCATAAAATGTAACTTCCAGATTGGTTATATAATTTATAGTATACCCCCAAGAAAAACCTCCGACTAGAATTTGAACATAAAGACCAGTAATATGGAGACATTTACAGTACAACATTACATTTAAAGGTTGTATTGCTATTATATACCCTAGTGTAGTAATTCTCCAAGGACATCAATGTGTGCATCACCTGGGAACTTGAACATTCTTGCTCCCAACTCACCCTTGGGAAATCAACTCTTGGGTGGCAGCACCGGTTCTGATGTGCATCAAAGTTTGGAAACTGTTGTCTAGTAGAGCTCAACTTTCCTCCTATTCCTGCTCACCTGAGCTTTTCACACTCTTCTGCAGCTCCAATAGCTCCATGGCAAGGAATCTCCTCCTGGCTGGGGTTAGGGAAGGCCATTCTTTTGTTTAAAATTATTTAATAGACAATGAAATCCAAATAAATAGGCAAGCTAAAAAATGGACCTATATACTAGGCCTGAAAGGAAGTTATGACACTGTTAAATCTCTGTTTTTGTAAGGTAGGATTATGGATGGACATTTATATCAGAGGGAAAAGTACTCTTTTTTAAAATGTAACTTATGAAACACTGACTTATTTTCATACTAAAGACAAAACAAACTGCTAAAGCAAGACACTGATTTTCATTTGTTTTCTTTCAGGTGGAACGAGGAAGCCCCAAGAGTTGTTTCTTGTTTTTAGGGTCTGTACTCTGTGAAGTCAACTGGGTTAGTGTGCTGTCGGATACCTGGAACCCTAGTCCCCTCCCTGAAACCCAGAACATGATTGTCTGCCTCCTTTTCATGATGATTTTACTGGGAAAGGAAGTTCAACTAGTAGACCAAATGGTAAGTTTGGGGAGCCCTTGATCAGCCTTCTTAGCTTCTCACTAGCTGATGTTTTCAGATTTTTCCCCCAGGCCTGTCAGTATGAGTAGATGCTGGGCACATGAGAGGGGCCTTTAGCCACAAGCCTGCTTTCCTGGATAGCCCACAGTCTAGTTCTAAATAATCAAGAGAACCCCACAGAAATAGAATATATTAATCAATTTTACTTATGTCTTATTAATTCTTAGCTCTGACTGTTCTGTGCTTCTTGATGGCATTGTTGCTGTGTGACACCAGAGCAGAGTTCCTTTAAAAATTGGTCTCAGAAATCTTTTAAATCTTAATATACTTTGCCACCACTTTGGTTATTGCTTTCTCTTGATGCTACCTTGAGTAGGTACTTACATGGCATCTTAACTGTTCAATGCTTATCATAACTATATTCATGCTTTTCCTATAAACTAGTTAGAGACACATTATTTCTGGGGAAGTAACTTAAAACAGCCTGTGTTCCATTTTTAGGATTCCCCTTTATTTAGTCTCCTTGGTCAGACAAGCTCACTCTCGTGGCATCTTGTGGACATTGTGTCGTACCAGAGCGTTCTGGGTTATTTTAGCAGTCATTACCCTCCATCCATTATCCTGGGAAAAGAATCTTCTGCTGAATTGATTGTGAAGCTCCTGAAAGTGTCTGCAGGACTTTCTATTCCTACTGATGGCCGGAAACATCTTGTAAGTTGTGAGAGTAGTTTGAAAGTTGGGGGTGGGGCGCTCTTCAGGACTCCAAGTAGCATATATGCTTCTGAGGCTTGCCTTGAATCTCCCGACTTCCTCAGCAGAGAAAGCTGTGCATCATTGTGCACTCATCTTGGCCTCTTGGAGCCTTTGGTTTGACTTTCCTCATTTGGTAAGCCTTCATTTACTCAGTGTCACCTGTTAACTATAGGTCAGAAGGGTTGAGGCTAGCAGTGGGATGGTCTTGAAATCTGAATGCTACAGGCAGCAGAGTAGCAGGCAGGCTGATGAGAATGAGCTGGAGGTCTGATGAACTGAAGATTCACCTCACTGCCATTCTGACCTTTGGCAGGCCCTTAGCGCTCTCTCTGATGAATCGATAATTCCTTACCTCGAAGTATTGTGAGGTTGAGTTAGACAATGAACATGAAACTTTTTGGAAAAGTTCTGGGAAAGTACTCACTATCCAGTTAATGTTGTTATTAGTGCAGTTTTGTGGAACCTGGGCATTATAGTCTCTGTGTTAGCAAAGGTTTGCATATTCCTAGACATATGCCCTGAGCCACTTGGATGGGGTCTTCCTGTGGCTTCTGGTCTCTCTTCTTCACCTTGTCCTAAATTGTTCAGAGCTGTGCTCCCTGGGAATATTAAGCTAACATTCCTTGCTGAGATTCACTTGAATGATTTTTGTTTGTTTGTCAGGATATAGTTCCAAAATGCCAAGCTTTCACTCATCAGATGGTTCAGTTTCTCAGCACTCTGGAACAAAATGGAAAAATCACCTTCACAGTCCTAGAACAGGAAATGTCTAAGCTCTTAGATGATATCATTGTCTTTAACCCACCTGGTAAGTGACCAGTGAAAAGCACATATTCATGCAGCTCGTGAATTCCTTCTGTATTAGGCACTGTGAGCTGAGGCAGATGGACAAGATCATGTCCTTCTTGATCCACAGTCAGTGGTCTGGACAGCATGAAACAGCCCTGGGGGCAGGCAGCAGTGTTAAAATTTGGGGAGAGAAAACTTGGGGAGAGAAAACCAAGAATGCTGACTAGAACTTGGTATCAGCAGAGTGGCAAAAGGATAAGGAAACCTGAGGCCATAAACAAAGTAAAAGAAAAAACCTATAAAGGTAGATGGAGTACTGAGGTTGGTTTCCACCTAAACCTTCTTAGGTCTAGAGGGAGCTGATAAGGCCCAGGCCTGCCTGAGATGGGAGCCTAAAGGAGATCCTGTGTAAGCCACAGGTGAACTCGGGATAAACGTGCTCTTATGTGAGAAGAGCAGAGCCAGCAGGCTGTTTTGGCTTGGTGTTTTGCTGATGTCTATGGAAGGGAAAGCAATCTGTTTTGAAAATTGGTAAGTAAAGCTGATCCTTAAGCTGTTGAAGTAAGAACTCATACTATCTAGAGAGTGCAAAGTAAGCAAACAACAAAGGGACTGGAGAGACGGCTCAGCGGTTAAGAACACTGTTCTTGCAGAAGACCCGGGTTTGAATTCCAGCACCCACATGGCAGCTAACAACTGTCACCAACTCCAGTTCCAGGGGCTCCAACAGCCTCTTTTGTCCTCCACAGGCATTGCATGACATGGGCGCACTTACCTACATGCAGGCGATACATGCATACACATAAAAATAATAAATAAAATGTTTTAATTAAAAAGAAAAAAGACCACAACAAAAAGGAATTAAAAACCAGTAATCAGGGCTACAGAGATGGTTTAGTAGTTAGGAGTACTGGTGGGTTCAGTTCCCATCACCCACATGGAAGCTAACAACTGTCTGTCTGTAGTTCCAGGGGATCCGATGCCCTCTTCTGGCCTCCATGGTCACTGCACACTTGCGGTGCACTTACATGCAGGCAAATAGTCATATAAATAAAAATACATGTAAAAAATAAAAAATTTTAAAATCAATAATCACTGTTAGAGAAATGGCTAGAATTGGTTTTGTGTGACTATGATAGTTGAGTAATAGTAGCACCCTGGGGAAGCGTGTTGTGGAAAGAATTGGAAGAGTAATAGAATCAGATCTGGTCTGGGGGAAAACATCTGTTGGCCTTGTTGATGAGCAGTAGGGGATGAGGCAGGCTTACATCTGCTACAAGGTTCATCCTAAATTAAAATTGCTATTACTGCTGGGCGTTGTGGTGCATGCCTTTAATCCCAGCATTCTAGATGAAGAGGCAGGCAGATCTCTGTGAATTCAAGGCCAGTCTGATCTACATAGTGAGTTCCAAGCCAGCTGGGGCTACAGGGAGACCCTGTCTCAAAAAGACAAAAATAAATAAATAAAATAAATGCTATTACTATTCATTTGAAATTGAGATGAGGCCTTTATTATCAAGAATCTATATATTCAGGAATACATGGAAAATACACATAGGCAGTTGATATCATGCTCAAGGTTTTTTCTTTTTAAGTTCTTACTTGACAGTAGTTTTTCAAGTAACATTAGGTCTGTTTCACATGATATAATCAGTGAAATTTTTCAGTAAGTATAGTCAGTAGGACTTCCTAAGTTCTTCTTACCCTTCCCATGGACATAAGCAGAGTCCTATGTGAGAAGAGGGAAAGCCTCTTATTCAAGATAGCTAAAAATAGTTAGCAAAAGTTGTTCCTGTTCACTCAGTAAATCCAATTTTCTGTTTTGGAAAGTGAAGTAGTCTACCTCAGTGACCTTCTCTGACTCACGACAGTTCTTGTAAAATGATTTTTTTCATTTTCTTCTTGTATTCTATTTTCTTTGCACCTCTACTTTTGTATTAAAAGACCCATTGATATTACCAGTCTATCTACTTATTTAAAAACTAGAATAAATTAAATAAATAAAACAGCTGCTGTTAGGAAGGGGTCTGTCTTACCATTGTGTTTTATATTTAATTTTTTGGGGGGGTGTCTTTTTGAAACAGGGTCTCCCTGTAGCCCCAGCTGGCCTGGAACTCACTATGTAGACCAGGCTGGCCTTGAACTCACAGACATCTGCCTGCCTCTGTCTCCCAAGTGCTGGGACCACAGGCGTGCACCACCAGGCCCAGCTTTATGTTTAATTTTAAGTAATCTTTATCTTGTATAAATTGCCCTAGAGGTGTTGGCAGTGATGGGGAGGGAGGTTATTGTTGCTAATTGGTTTACCAAATGACTGATGTCTAAGATCTATGTGGTTGATTTTCTATGAGCAAAAGTTGGAAGATAAAGACCCATATTCTGATAGATAAGACACATCAGCTCTGTATATGACTAGTTATTAAGGTTTTCTTTCAAACTAACCAAGGAACTTGAAGAAGTTCCTAATTTTCCTCTAAGTATATTTGTATGTCACATCCTAACATAAAAACCAAGTACCATTGGTACCTTTCTTCTGATCCCTTGCAATCAGACACTAGGATTGTGGAATCTATTAGAGAGCAGCTAAGATTGAAGCATTGTTGTTTTTAGGACATTCATGTCCCTGTGCCAGCATTCTGAGCGTATGTCTGTATTTCCCTTTAGAAATGGATAGGCAGACCCGCCACATGGCACTCAGTAGCCTCTTCATGGAAGTCCTGATGATGATGAACAATGCAACTATTCCAACAGCAGAGTTTCTTGGTGGCAGTATCCGGACCTGGATTGGCCAAAAAGTGCATGGACTGGTGGTTTTGCCCCTTTTAACAGCAGCCTGCCAAAGCCTGGCTTCAGTCCGCCACATGGCAGAGACAACAGAAGCCTGTATCGCTGCGTACTTCAAGGAAAGTAAGAGGACATCATTGTTTCTTCTCTTTGCATTGCTCTTTCCTAGGAAAGATGAAAGCCTGTCATCAGGGGCTAGCTCTCCAGACTCTGGGACCATACCATTCTAATTTCAAGAGAGAAAAGCTCTAATTCGATTTACATTGGTTTTAGAGTATCAAACCAACCTTGTTTATGATAGCAAAGTCATAGTTTTAAAAAATGCTATAAACCAGAATCTATATAATAATGACCTATGCTATTAATTTCTCCCCTATCATTTTTGATGAAAGGAGTTTTCAAAGAAACCTTTTCTCCTGTCTCCATCCTTTTTTCTTTCTTACTCCCCTCCAAACTCAGAGTCTGGAGACAGCCTGGTAGGATTAAGGACTGCCCAGAATGGCTCCTCTCAACTCTGATATTCAGATATGCATAGTACTATAGATACAGGAGAGAAAGGACAGAGTGAGGTTCTAGGAAGTGCCCATATCTAGCCATCTGCCCTGTTCAGTTACCAGCAGCCACGGCCACTGTGAAGGTACTGTTTACATCCCCATGCACCACTTTCACTCTCCCGAAGAGTTGAGAACCATTAAGATAATACTTCTGATTCAAATTTCTTTGTCATTAAAAATCAAAACAGGCTTCACTGAAATATGAACTGCATTTTAGCAAATGCTCATGAGAGATTGAATTAGAGATTGAGTTACTTTTCTTGGAATAGTGTAAGTGTTCATTAGATGACCCTATATATATTACTGGTGGTTGTGTGATGAAAAAGGTGGCTTATAGATACACAGCCACCTTTTTAACCCTCTCTAGTCTAGTGGCATGAAGGCTTTCCAGTCTAAACTTCAGGGTACTGCTCATGTTTCTGGCCTATAGGGCCAACTGTGAGAAATGTCTTATGTGGAGCTAAAGTGAAAGCATTTGTCAGGGTTGTTGTGAACTTGCTTATATCTTGATATCTCTTCTTGGTGTTCTTTTCTTAGGCTCCCTCAATCAAAATTTAGGATGGGGCCCCATTCTGGTGTCCCTTCAAGTTCCTGAGCTCACCATAGAAGAGTTTCTGCAGGAGTGTCTAGCCTTGGGCAGCTACTTGACTCTCTATGTCTACCTGCTTCAGTGCTTAAATAGTGAACAAACTCTAAGGAACGAAATGAAAGTTCTTCTCATCCTAAGCAAGTGGCTGGAGCAGGTATACCCAAGGTATGCTTCCTCTTGACAGCTTTACCAAACTTGGGTTTGCTTTACTTGGAATTTAGGGTTTAGGTAAGTGTATATTTAAGAGCACAATGTTCAGTGGTACATAAGAATCAAACAGGGCTTTCAAGTTTTCTGAGCAGGTTTTTAAATTTCCTTACACAAGTATTTTGAAGCACCAAACTTCAGTTTTCTTATAAGCAGGAGATTAAAAGAGCATGAAGCCCAGCATCTGGCATGTAGTCATATTCAGTAAATGGTAGCTAGCTGAAATGCCATTGCTTTTTAACATTAACATTTTGCTGACACATAGTAACCTAATTTTTATTTTCTTTAATTTTAATTATTTATATATTTATGCATTTATTTGTGTGTGTGTGTGTGTGTGTGTGTGTGTGCATGCGCGTACACCATGGTATGTGTGAGGAGGTCAGAACATCTTGTGGGAGTCCATTCTCTCCTTCCACCATGTGAGTCCTAAGGATTGAAATCAGGTTGTTAGACTAGGTGGCAAGAGCCTTTACCTACTGAGCCATTTGCTGGCTAGCCTAGGTTTTAAAAAAATGTCTATCTTGTTCATTTTAGGAGTGTGATACAAAAAAGACATGTTGGAAATTTTTTTAAAGCACATAATATTTTGAAATTAGAATAAAGAATAAGAATTTCCAATTAAAAAAAATGTCTAAATGTCTCCTTTCCTTAAAATTCAAATACGACTTTCAGTTAAATGGGAGTGGGGAAACTACTTATAATTCATTTGCTCCGGCTCTTCCCCAGCTCTACACAGGATGAGGCAAAGCTGTTTCTGTGGTGGCATCAAGTCCTGCAACTGTCCCTGACTCAGATGGAGCAGAATGACTCAGTCCTTACAGAGTCTGTCATCCGGATCCTGCTCATGCTCCAGAGCAGACAGAGCCTTGTGGCTGAGGAGAGGCTCAGCTCTGGGATTCTAGGGGCAATTGGGTTGGGCCGGAAGTCACCCTTGTCTAACAGGTGAGGAAGCAGCTATACCATTCTTCTCAGACAATTGTCCCTGTTATAGGTGTGACACTGGAATAGGGCTTTTAACTTAGGGTATAGGTTTTCCAGAAAGATGAAGAGAAACAAAAAACAGACCAATCATGTCTTTATATACTAAAAACACAACGTTTATTTTTTCTTGCTTTAAAACTTTATTTCAAAGGTCAAACAATAAATACCTCTTGTTGTATTTGACACTGCAACTTGACTGCACTCCTTTTTTTTTGGTTTTAAGCCAATAATGTTAGGTTAAAGTACCTCAGTCCTCTCCTTCATTTGTGGGGCACACAATCCCCATGCAATGCTATGAGTTCAGGGAAATTCAGAGCCTGTGAGGGACTCAGTGTAGTGAAATGTTAAGTCGTCATGATGGGTTAGGGCCAGTTGGTAAAAGAAGTAATGAGAATAAGTCCAGGTTTTGTGACTTAAAATCCCAAGGCATGAAAGAATTTGCCAGCAGCCTCCCATTCTATCTCAGGGTACTTGCTTATGTTATGGTTTCATTTCCTCCCTCCTTCCCACCCTCTCCCCTCCCCATCACCTCCCCCTTCCTCATGCTAAGCATCGTCTTCTACTGAGCTAGACCCTAGCCTAGATCATGGTTTTCTTTTCAAATCCTTGTCAGTGTTGGTCTTATATCATGCTGGCGTCTTCAGTCCTGTGTTATTATAAACTTGGGAACAGCATCTAAGACCAGATGACCTAATTTTTCTTTGTTTATGGTAGAATATGGCAGGACAGTAGTCTTAGTTTGACCTAAATTTGACTTACACATCTTTTGCTTGAATCAAGTGCTTTTCCTTTTTAGTTTTTAAGTATGAAAAATATATGACCATTTTAATATGTATAATTCAGTGACATTTAGACATTAGCAATATTATAGCCATCACTACCTCCAGAATATTTTTCTTTTTTCTTAAAAAAATTCATTACTTTTATTTTATGCATATGAATGCATTGCCTGCATGTACCTAAGTGCTGTGAAGTGCCTGCTGGAGGCCAAAAGAGGGTGTCTGATTCCCCTGGAACTGGAGTTACAGACAGTTGTTAGCTGCCATGTGGGTGTTGGGAATTGAACCTGGGTCCTCTGTAAGAGCAGTTAGTGCTCTTATCCACTGAGCCATCTCTCCAGCCCCATATTTTCATCACCCCCACAGGAAGCCCTATATGCACCAGTCACCTCCATATTCTTCTCCCCCTAGTCTCTGGCAACTGTTAATGACTGTTTAAATCCTTCTTAGGGCATTTATAAAAATGGAATTATATAATATGTGGCTCCTGCTGTCTCCTCTCTTTTAGCGTATATGTTTCTAAAGTTCATCTCTGCTATAGCATGTGTCAGCAGTTCCTTTATCTTTATTTATATTTTTGTGATGCTGAGGATGAAACTCATGCATGCTAGGCAAGTACTCTGTCACTGAGCTCCATCCCTTCATTCCTTTATATGGCTGAGTGATGCACTCAGGAGTGGATCTACCACATTTCATCAGCTCGTGGGCATTTGGATTGCTTTAGCCTTTGTTGCTGTTACAGAAAATGCTGCTGTGGACATTCATGCACAAATCTTTGTGTTTTCAGTAGGAATGGGATTGCTGGGTCATGTAGAATTATTTTCTATAGTGCCTACACTAGTTACAGTCCCATCACCAGCTATCCACATCTTTACCTATACTTCTTTCTCAAATCTGAATAGGTACATATTTTTTTACTAACCATGGAAAGATTAAAGTTGGATTTTCCTGAAGAGGCTAACTACAGAGAAGGTCTAGAAATTGATTTATATTGTTTTCTTTTAAAATAGGAAATAGGGTGTTTATTTTAAAATGTTCATGTTAATAGTCACTCACTTCTGACCTACTGACACCCAAGGTTCCGAGTGGTTGCTCGAGGGATGGCTGCCTTCCTGTCAGTTCAGGTGCCTACAGAAGACCAGATTCGTCTGAAGCCTAGCTCTGAAATATATCTGACTCCCAAAGCTCAGCAGGTCAGTAAAAGGCTTAAGGATTGGAAGTGTGTTCTAGTGTACCTTCCTCAGAGGAGAGGTGGCGGCTCTAGCCTGTACACCTCATGACATGATGCTCTGCAGCAGCACAGGGTTCCCTATACCTGATGGAAAATGGTTACATGTGCCCATCTCAGATTTTTGAACCAGTTTTTATTGATACTCACCTAGAGCAATGAAGAGATAAGGGTAGTCTAGGATTGAATTTGGTCTTGGTGAGTGTGACCAGTGTGGTTCCTCATGCCAGGGCTGGCACTGTACAGATGATGGCTCAGTTGACATGGGTGACAATTGGCTGAGCTTTTCCTTGGAGCCAAAGCAGTGGTTTACTGTTCTATAAGGCTGAAGATTGACCACTGTGGGTAGGTGCTTGAATATCAGCAAAATAGTAGCCATTAGAAGTTACCATGTATACTAAAAACATGGACAACATGTGTCAGTGGTCCCATTCCTGTAACTTGGGTTTTCATCTATCAGACAGCTGGCCAGGTATGGAGCCACACACATGAAACAGTACTTGCCGTTCTTGAGTGCTTGCTACATATCAGGCACTGCTGTGAGTTACAGCTCTCTTAATATTAGTAAGTTAAAAGTTTTTACTCATTTCTTCCTCTAGCAGCAATTACAGTCCTGGTCTTGTGAATGAGTAAACAGAGAGAGGGAGGGAGGGGGGGAGGAGGGGAGAGAGATCAGGCTGTTCCCTCATTCCACTCTGTGGGATGTCTCTGTATATGGTAACTACTTAACTGCTTTTCCTTTGCAGCTAGTAGTGTCTGAGCCAGCCACATGCAGTGTGAGGTCTTAGTTATTAAGAGTGAGAATCAGTTAGTACAACTGGCAGATTCTTCACAGGGACCTCAGAATATGAGACTCCTGGTACTTGTCACTCACTGTTAAGAGTCCCTTAATGCCTTCTGTGAAGCTGTACAGATGGGCAGATGAGCCTTCTGTGGGCAGACTGGGAGATCAGTGAGATTCATTTTATGATATATTTGAGTCCTCAGTTCTCCTGGGGCCCTAGACCAGAGCATCAGGACCCTGCTTTAGTTGTGGCCACAGGTCACATGGGCCCTATTCCATTAGACTTAAAATGCTGGTTCCCTGCATGTCCCTTGCATACTTGCCCTTAGGATTTTCAAATTTCAAAAGGCCCTCTTGTTATAAAATGACTAATCCTAGACTAACTCAACAGATCATTTGAGGGTAAAATTTTAAAACAGAATAGGGAGAGAGATCGACACTAAGATTCTGGCAGTGCCTGACCCCATTGGTTCCTGTTCTTAGATTGAACCCTGTTCATTCATATAACTCCTAACTCAGCTCCCAGCTCCTAACTCGGCTCCTAACTCAGAATGCCATGTTTTTAAATTTTTCAACACTAAGTTCTGCTCATTGCCTGGTTTATAAGCTTCCACTTTATTTACCATACTAAAAAACAAATCCCCCTCTTTGTATTCTAAGCCAAGCAAATTCCATTTTTTAATAAATTTTCTTTAGTGTCAGGGGTTCTCAAACTTGGGAGAGGGAGTAGGGTGCTCCATGTATTGTGGGTGTGCCCCTAGGGAAGAGCTCATCTTCAGAACCTTGGAGGTGGGTGAGCTTGGACACTTGGAAAACAAAGCTTCCCTCCTTCCAAGATCAGTTTGGGATTGTTGTTTTCTCCATGTACCATCTCTTTTCCTCCCCTTCCCTTGCAATAAAGGAAGGAGAAATCAATGTTACAGAGCTGGAGAATGATGATTTTGTTTTTCCGTTGAAAAGGGCTGCATGGGAATTCTTTCTTCCCTCAGTTCCTTGCTGTTTTTTATGTAGAATTGGGAGGAACTTGTCCTGTGTTCTTTGTTGGCTGCTTTAGCCACCTTATTTTCTCACAGTGGCACTTAGCAGCTACTTTGTTTAGAATTTCACTCTTGCATTTTCCCATGTAGTTTTAACAAACCCACAGCCAGTCACAAAGCTTTCACCTTACTGTGATGTACTTGGTGCCTTTTGTTTCTGTTGGGCTTTGAGAGGAGAGGGGGTGGGGATCTTGTGGGGAGGACCCCACTAGTGGGACCAGGGAAAACAAGGACAAGGCGGGCAAGGGAAATGGCGGTGGTGGCTGAGAAGAGAGCAGTAACCCCACCCTGGCTGCTGCTGGCTCTTGATAAGGAAGGCTTGGGAAGTAACAGTATAATAGAGAGAAGGCTGCAAAAGCAGAGACGTTGTGTTGCAGCCTCCTCTTGGTTGTGCTACCTGAAGCCTGCCTCTGGGCTCCTGCCTTTGGTATTAGGGGGCTTTCCTCCCAGTGGGACACGTAATGATGGCAGATGTGCTGTACCTGTGCCAGGCAGGTGGTGTGCATTCATGGCATTAACCCTCTTGTATTTCATGTCTTTTAGGCACTGGCTGCTCTTGAATCCATGACACTGAGTAAGCAGTATATTGAATACCAGGATCAGATATTACAAGCTGCCCAGTTTATAAAGCATCCAGGCCATTGTCTTCAAGATGGGAAAGGCTGCTTGGCTCTTCTTGTTAACTATCTCTATCCAGAAGTGCATTATTTGGATAACATACGATAGTGATGCCAAAACCCTTGAAAAACCCTGTTGCTATTTATGTTTACATTAATTTTGCTGTTGCACAACTACCTTTGTTCATTTTCACTGCAGAGCTTGGTTTGTCCAGGAAGTAGTTGACGAGGTGCAAGTGGGGAGGCATTAGATAGAAGTTGTATGTGTGTTTATCTGTTACTTTCCAGGGACGTTTTAGTTTTTATTTTTTTCCACAAGTGCAACCAAGTTCCACTGGTACAGGGCCACTCAGAGTTGCAGAGTGTCCCAGTCAATCTCCTAAGACCTTCATAGAGAGTTGTTGGTCTGTCTCCACTTATGGCTCTCGCTTTGTTTGAGAGTCAACTCTTAAGCCAGATCTGACCACTTTGGGAGTCATATGGGGAAGCACACTAGCTTAAAAGTATTATGTTACTTCTCTCAGAATGGAGATAACAATGCTGAATTAAGTCCATGCGTGGTGGTGCACATCTGTAGTCCAAGCATGCACGTTGCTGAAGCAGGAGGATTACATGTCTGAGAATATGTGAGGCCTCTTTCTCAATAAACAAAACTAAACAAAGAAGCTGAATGAAAATTAGTCATGCTCAAGACATGGCCACTGAACCCCGACTGTAGTGGACAACAGACATGATGATACATCTTTTTCCAGCTGCATGTCCTCTGGAAGAGCACCTGTCTGAGTTGGGGTGGCAGCCTGACATGCTGTGACAAGCGTGTTGTGTACAGATGTGTCTTATTTGGTCCATGTAGTAAGAGTGCAGACAGGGCTAACTCTGCAGCTCCCAGAATCTCTCAGTTCCCTTGGGTCCCCTCAGTCACATCACTTTATTGGCCCTGTCTATATAGAAGTTCCCAACTCTATGTCAGGTTTGCTGTCTGCTGGTCTCACTTGTCAGGGTGCACTGAGGGCTTTGTTCTCCATTCCTTCCTTGTTTCTTCCTTCCATATTTAAATTCAGATGAAATTTGTGGACCTGTTGTAAGTCTTGTCCATGGAAACTGGGCCAGGTCAGGGGAATTTTAGAAGTTTGACTTTTTGTGAGTAGATTTGTGCCTTCTGTCACTGTTAACAATTCATTGCCAAAGCCTGTCTGCCACATTGCCTTGTTCTGTTGATTTCTGTCAGTAGATTCATAATCCTCAAACTGGATCAAAATGGGTTTTGTTTGTTCAGCTTATAACATGTCTTTGTTTTTATGGGTTGTTTATAGCCCAAGAGTATCTACCTACAGATCTCTGGATGACCACCAAGAGCTTTCAGTAAAGATGGGGTATATAGTTAGTGTCTTTTCACACACATCCTTTTGGAGTGCTTCCCACACAGTTGGGAGCTTGCAGGAACATCTCATTAGAAAACGCTGCCTCATGGACATGAAATGTCAATGTTCTGTGGCTGAATTCTGTAGGGCACAGAGTCATTTTATGGGGCCGTGTCTCCGTTTTCTTTGTTTTTGCTTTTCTCCATGTTCAAAATCTGTTATCTTCACATTCTATGTATAAGAAAATTTTAGAAACTATAGACAGCTGAATGGGCTGATTGGGCAGCGATGGTTTTGTGACAGGGAAATATTTTGTGTGTTGTTTTTTTTTTTTTTTTTTTGAGGAGAATGAAATTACCAATATCCTAGGATGTGAAATTTTTGAGTGATAGTGTGTACATTTTAATGAAAATATGATTAATCTGTTAATTTTGGAAGTTTATAATATTTGTAATTTTTGTCTGTAAAAATTATAAAAATAAAATCAATTTTTGAGTATAACTGATATGAATTTGAATTATAGGGATCTCACACTAACTTTAAAGTACTTCATTTGTTAGTTGTACATTTTTATGCCTGATATTAAATTAATTTGGCACTGTAACTTGGCTTTCAGCAGTGGTCAGTTGCAGTGCCTCCTTTCTCTTTTTTCGTGTTTAGTGTCAGTTACTCATCTTAGATTGTTGTGTGAAGCACAGGCTAAAAGCTTTAGAGATACTGAAATAGTTATAAGGACAGAAGGCTGCAGACGGTTGGCCTACCCCCTACTTGAAGGAGAACCAGCCTTTGCTTGGAAAATCCTTGACCTTTAGAGATGGCAATGTGCACTTCACATCCTTTTTTGGAATCAGGCAAGACTAAGGCCTGAGCATAGTGGAAGGTGGACTGTTGGATGCTCCAGGCCTTCTTGTGTGGTGGCATCAGCTCTAATAAAGATTCAGTTGCTTCCTGGGAACAAGAAGAGTAGAGTTTTGGTCTTAGTGAAAGTGCCTCTGCTTCTCCAAAAAGTTGTTTCTTCTGGAGCAGGAAGCGAATGTCTAGAATCATAGACATGTAGAGTCAGAGGGCACATTACATAGCTCAAGCCCTTCACTCAGTGGGGATCCTTGGCCTCTCCTGCACCAGGCCAGTGTCCCAGAGTCCCCTGCTGGGCCCGCCTAGGCTATGCTAGGTCCCTCTGTGGTTCCACTTTATATCAAGTCAGCATGCCTCCCGGTCACATTGCCTTTCGGTCATGGATCTGCCTGGAGTATCCAGGCAGGGACTGTCCTCTTGCTCCCCTCAGTATACCTCAAGACATTTCCCCTTCTGGTCCCATCTCACCTGCTCCCACCACTTAGTCCTCTCTAGACTAAATGCCCAGAATCCTTAGTCCTTTTCCACCATAATGTCCAGTAAGACTGCCTTTGGGGAGAAGTGCCCAGATCACTCCACACTGCTGCCCCAAGGATCAGCAGAGCCAGGACTAGGATGAGACAAATGAGCCATCTTGGCACAGGTTTCAGTTGGCACTTACAGGTGCTGAAAGAGTGTATCCTTGCTTTGGGGTCTTTGTTGCCCTATTCTAGGGCCTACTGTGGAGGTGTCATGTTCCTGTGGCCCTGGCAGTGCAGTGCACTTTGATAACACACTTGGGAGTTGTGTCCTGTAGTTGTCACATTAACCTAGCGGTGAGTTTAGGCTCCAGGCCTGTTTCGTACCAGTCACTGCCCAAGTCTAGGCTCATCGCATACCTGTGAGAGGCCTAATGATCATCCTGTTCTACTCTGCTCTTCCTTGTGGGCTAACTTTATGGCTTATTTTGAGGTAGCAGCTGGCCATTTTTCTGGTCAGTTAACTTTTATTAAGCAAAATGGAGACTATAATTTTGGGGAAATAGACTTACTGCCTTAAAAGTCAAGGTGTTCCCCTTCTGTGATCTTTCATTTACTCTGGGTTGTGTTAGGTAAAGCTCTTGACTTAGCCAGGCCCTGAACTAACAGTTCTGCTCTACCAGGAAGCTCCTGTGCTAGAGCAAGTCTCATGTGTCTAAAGTCATGTGTCCGGGAGCTGGTCACATGATTGCTCATAGTTTCCTTTAAGCTGTATAGGTTCCTGATGAGAGTAACTTGAAAAAAATTAAACTACTGTTTTGGAATAATGAATTTGCTAAGAAATGTTGATTATAACATGTTTCAATATATCATATAATATCACTGAGCACCGAGAGAGTTTATTTATATTGGAGATAAGCACAGTGGTGTATTCAGCTCTTCCCATGAATCTAGAGTGACCTTTAGAAACCACTTTATTTTGGTCATTAACCGCAATATTTACTTCTTATTCATTGTTTAATATTTTTCATGTTTGTACAAAGGATGGCTTTTTATATAATGGTGAGAAACAGGAAGAATTGAGAATTAGCTAAATAAAATTCTGCAAATAAACTACATTGTAATTTACTCCTGGTGAGCCTGTCTCATTGTTTTTAGAAAGCTGGCTGACAGGCCTTTTCATACATAAATCACATTAAGAAAATTTTTAGGAAATTTGTAATGGATAAAGATCTTTATTCTGTGATGTTTCATCACAATGACAAGACCTCTAGGTACAAAGAGAATTTTTATAATGCAGGGTTTAAGACTTATGGGTAGGATTAGACCATCAAATCAGAAGGTCCCTTGATGTCTGTATGAAGAGAACCACAAAAGCTGTACAAAGGCTCCCAAGGTCCATGTGAGCAGGAGTGCGTGGAGCACTGGGAGGCCAGAGCTGCCAGTGGAGCCTGGGCCCCCAGTTTGCTCAGGGTCTTCTGTGAACATCTGCCTTCAGTGCTGGCATACTAGAGAGTTCCTCCTTAGCAATGATGTTTATGACCATTTTTAAGACACATCTGGTCTTAGATGAGGTCTTTAGATTCCATTTAGGATTAGCATTTGTGCTTCACCAAGGAAAGGGCCTTCTGGGTATGGGGTGTATCTCCCTAGCCTTGTGTGTGATCAGCTTCTTTTTCTAGATAGAAACACAGGGCTTAAGGGTTGGAAATGGCTCAGAAGCATAGTCATGTTCAAAGAAATGGAAGGCTTCAGCCCTGCATCCTGTACAACACTGGGAAATCCATTCTCTTGAAAGCACTGTCTCTTCTGAGTCATCTCCAGTCTCTTTGACTCCTGGGCCCACCAGAGGGGAGTTGAGTCCCAAGTGTGCAGACTCAGCCTATTGCTTGTGTCTCTGGTCTTTGCTTGCCAGTGACAGCCTGAGTCTGTGATCAGAGAAGGTTAGATGGGAGGACAGGGGTCTCAGTCCCTTCCAGATCTTGGAGATAGCTCAGAGGGGATGGTCATATGCTGTTCCATCGTATTCCCCATTCCCCCTTTGGAGCAGCTGCTCTTTCTGGAAGCCGAACAATAGACTGCCTAGGTACTACATGTAGACTGTTAAAGGAGGAGGCCACTCCCCTCAGCATGCCCCTCACCCACTGATAGAGGGAATAAGCCATTTCCCTGAGGAATGATGCTGGTTTAATTTTCAAGAAGCCTACAGCATACTACAGATACTGCAGTGAAGATCACCAGGTTGGTAGCAGTGACCGAAGTCAGGCACCACAGAGAGCAAATCTCAACCTTCAGCTGGCCTCAGAATCAGGTGGATCTTGGTCAGAAACAAGCTCAAGAGGACAGTTTGGGGACAGTTGGGAAAATCTGAATATAAGGTGGTATTACTAAATGTGAGGGTATGGAAGAGACAAAACTCAAGTTCTTCAGGGGTGTTTAGGGTGAAGAACTGTACTGTTTGCAGCTTGCAAATAGTTCAGACAAGTCCTCAGCAAGCAAACAGCAACACACGAGTAAATGTTGAATGGGGTGGGGGGCATGGGTATGGTGTGTGTTTGAAAAAGATCTAGAGAGTTGGAAAAGTTGCCTAAAGACTTTGCTTAAAATTCTAGTCTCCTTCCCTGAGCTTGTGGGTCAGTAGGGTCAGGTAATGTTCAGCATGGGTATTTATTTAAATAGCTCCCCAGATGTTCCTGATGCAGTGATCCTTGGGAATCACTGGGGAGACACTTGTTTGGAAAGGCTGGGCCAGGCTTCAGCCATGAGAGGGCAGTGGTAAGATAGGTGAAAGCAGCCAGCCATGCTCTGCAGTACCAGGAGCCCAGCACCATGCTCGGTCCCTTCAGTGCCAACTCCTGTTACTCTCACCTCTGCTCCCTCTACCCAGCGTAGGGCATTCTCTCTGTCCCACTGTCCACATGCCACCGCTTCCTTCATGCCCCAGTAACTTGGAACTGCTTCAACACCATGCCATGTCTGACTCCCCATTTTGCTTGAGTTGTCCCTATGCTTTGAAAGCTTTTTCTTACCTCCCAATCTCCACTTTCCCCCAGTGGCCTTCCCCATCAGCATAGCCAATGCATATTGCCTTCACATACCCTCTTCCAGGAAGCCTTCCCAAGTCAGGCCAGTTACCCTTTTCATGTACTCCCACAGCACCCCAAGCTACCTTTGCTCTTACATGATTTTCCACTTACTCTGTTGCTTGCTTGAGGGTTTCTGTAAGGACTTGCTGTGGTGTCAACCAGTGTTATTCCCAATGCTTTCTCAAATTTCTCCAGAGTTTCTCAGATACCATGTAGGGTTGCACTGCATGTCCTCAGCCATGATCACCAGCAGGACATCTTCCCAAGGATTCTTTTTACCTTCTGTCCGTCAATTTGCATCATAATGAATCCCTGGGACCTGTGTTCCTGAGTAACAATGAGCTGCCTTTGTGAGTCTGTGATGGGAATGTAGCTTTGGTAAGAAATGAATCCTGTTTTCAGCCACTATGACATTAGGGTTTGTTACTGTAGTACAACCTGGCTCATCCTGACTGACAAAGATACCTTCTTCAGCTTTATAACCACAAACAACTTACTAGTTCCTAGCACAAAGCAGATATGTAAGCAGTAATTCCTATTATAGTTTTTCTTGGCTATGAAAATGGCTTCAAAGACAAATGAGATGTTCTCATCTAAATCATTACCATGTCCCTAACTCTTTTCTTGGTGATACAGGATCTTTGATGGAGATACCCCAAAGTATCCCTGTGCAAGGAGATAAAGATGCCAACTCCTGTGATCTCTCAAAAACTCAGACGGCCTCCTCAGTGTATCTCAAGATAACCATGAGCTGTCATTGCCCACTTGCCTTTGCTAAGGCTCTGCTAAAGAGGGAAGAGTGAAAGCCACTGCCTCCAACCTTCAGAGACAGTGCCTACTAAACATCATGGCCTCTTTAGTAACATATCCTGTGGCTTACCAGATCCCAATTACACCTCTCCTCTTTTTTAATAGGACCAACAAGTATACATTGAAGTTTAAATAAGGAAAAGCATCACTCTTGAAGCTAACCTGGCTAGACTCAGGAAAATGGGGTGAAATTGTCAGTGCTTTTAAATGGCTCTGCACATCCTGCAAGGATGTGTGCTATAGAGAGGTCAGAGCCATACCTGTCTTATTCAGGTCCTTTCAGGTCTCTGGATCTCAGTTTTTTAAAATATATTTTTATTAATTTTTATTTGTTTTGTGTGCCTGTATGTAAGTGCACCCATGTTGTGCAATGCCAGAAGTGAGGGATGGATCCCCTAGAACTGGAGATATGGATGGTTGTTAGCTGCCATGTGGGTGCTAGGAACTGAACCTGGGTCCTCTGAAAGAGAAGTCAGTGCTCTTAACTGCTAGCCATGTCTCCAGCCCCCGCTCTCAGTTCTTGACATATGGCTTCCAGATGCTTTGAGATGATGGGACTCAAGTCTCCTTTTCCTGGGGTCTGGAGTAGCTGATGTGGTAAGGGGAGGGCAGAGGGCTGGGACAGTCACTGTGGAGAGTGTAGGAGGCAGGGGCTCCAGGCCTCTTCCTGCTATCAAGTTCCCAGGGGCTGCTGTTCCTCTGATCACTGTTTGCACAGCTCCAGTCCCAGGTTTGTTCTCTGGAGTCCTTGGTTCTCTGCAAGGCCGAGCAGGTGCCACACTTATCCAAGAATTCTGCATGTCCAAAGGTCTACCTCTGAGATGGCCTTGTACTTTACACAGCCCTTTCAGATCTACTATTTCCTCAGATCTAGAGAGACCAGCCAGCCAGGGAGAGAGAATATTATTATGCAGCTTAACTAGTGCTCCACTGAGCTCCAGAGAGAGAGGTAAAGAAAATACCCCATTCTACACTGAAAATTGATGCTGGAGCAGGATGGAGCTTGGATTTCCAGATCTTACAATGGTTTCCTGTCTACTACAGAGTTCTAGGTTATAAAGAATGGGGAGTTTTTCTAGAACTTTCATGCTGAGGCACACAAGTGCACACACATACATACACATTCAGAATGCTGGCTCCACTGGCATAATATCACAGAGTTCCAAGGCAGATGTCCAAGTAGGAGACCAAGTGAGCCTCTGTGAGTAGGGTCTGGGCCTGCTTTGGAGGTTGGAAGGCCCAAAGCTGCCAAGGAACCTGGGAACCAGAAGGCCATATGGGTCTAGCCTGGTACTGCCCTTCATTTCCCATGGTGCACAGCTGGATGCTGGTGGCCAAGGAATTCCTCACAGCAAACTCGTGGCAGTTGATGGCTCTGGGGGTTTGTCTGGCTCAAATTTTCATAATTGGACTCCTGAGCCTGAGACCTGCGGACAGGAAAAAAATTGATGCAGGAGAGGGCTGTGCAGGGACAGCATCCCAGACCAAAGTTGCCACTGCCTCAAAGTGATTTTGTCAGCGGCTTCAAAAATGAGCTCCGTGTACCCAGCCTCCCCAGGTCTGACTGCTTTCTAGATTTCTGCCTACAGCATCCTATGAAGTACCTCAAACCTCTGTACCCACCAAGCTAGGCAATCCATACTGTCCCATTTCCTTCTTCCCTCAATGTCTCTGTGACAGCTTCCCAGCTCAAGCTCCAACCCTAGGTGTCCTGGCTCTCTCCTTTACTGCTGCCCACCTTTTCCTCACAGATACTCCTCCCTAACACCTCTGTCAGACCACAAACACAGCCTCCTCCTAGGTCTTCCTTCAGGACCCTTCTGTTGGCAAGTGGGACTGCTTATGCATGACCTTAGACCATTCTGACTTCCCATTACGCTCAGAATCACCCCCCAACCTTGCCAGCCCTTCCCATGTTCTATGCTCTGCCCATGCCTGCCTTCCTCCTGCTCCCTACTTGACCTTTCTACTTTCCATTCCCACTCTTGGGTTATCCCACCACCTTGGCCACCCTAGGCTCCAGCCTCCAGCTTGGTCTCCTCAACGCCATGTCTTCAGAGAGAACATCCTGATCTTAAGTGACCATAGCCCACTGGCTAAGCCATCGGGGGCCCTGCTTTCTCACCAGCTCCACTTCCTTCACAGCTCTTCTTTTACAATCTATGATGCTCTTGTAACATGCTCATGAAAAACATCTATGTTGGAATGCAAGTTTGTGGATTTTTATGTCTCTTTAGCATCCACATTAGTACCACATAGGGGGTATTCAGTAAATATCTGTTAAATGAATGAACAGTAGGTGGCTTTCTGACCTTTGTTCTTCAGAACATTAACAAAGAAAATGAATATATGACAGTTGTCAAGACCTGAGCTGGCAGCTGGAGAGAGTGTGCTCCCCAGTGCCCAGGACCTAGAATTGAGTTCTTTCTACTTCAACACGGGCCTTCACTTGGGTGGACACTGAAGAGGAGAAAATGAACCTCAGGTCAGTGACTTCCTATCTGAGTCTCTGAATCCCTTATTTAAGCCAGGTCCTGGCACTTCTAATGTTGTATGTGGCGAGTGGGCCAGCAAGTCAGCCTGACATGGTCTGTCCAGAGGATGGAGTGCTAGATGGGGGGATAGGGTGCTCTGAGGAGGGCCCAGGCTTTGGTCTAGTCTACCATCCCAGCCCTGTCCTATGCCTACTACCTGTTCTGAGAAACTGGCATCCCTTGGACAATGGGACAAGGTAGGAATGGGGTAGGGAGGAGGCAGTGAATGTACTTACCATGCAGGAGTGTCCTGGGTGACCAGGTGTTCTGTGTGAGGGAGGGAAGAGATGGGGGGAAGAGAGAGAGACTAGGTATAAATCTGCACTGTGGCCTCCAACATACATGCCTGCTGCCCCTGCCGCACACCACTGTGAAAAGTGGTCCCCAGGAAATGCAACACATAGCAGATGAATAGAGACTGCTGACTGCCACAGTGACTGTGAGGCTTAACCTGATAGATGACCAGGAGTTAATGAGAAGAAGGAAGTGAGGTGTGGTCTGACAGAACAAAATTGCCTTTCCGGGGACCCTGAAACAAAATGCTTCCTGAGTCTCAAGAACCAGCAAGAATGCCAGGGTCACAGCAAGGACAGCAGCTGAGGTGACACAGCAGACTCTGGATTTCATCCCTGGAGAGTCTGAGGCTAGTACTACTGATTTAGAAGAGGGGAGGACTGGGAAGGCCTGTCTCCTAGATGCCCAGTCCAACTCAACGACAGCAATGTGGGGCAGCTCTGTAAGGACCTTGAGTTCAAGCGGCCGCACTTGCTGTGTGTGCTTTTTTTTTTTTTTTTTGGCGTAGGTCTCACCTCACTTCTTATATAAGGTCTAGGCAGCATAGCATAATGTCAGTTTTCTGCAGGTTCTAGTGTCTAGTGGAGCCCTTCTTGTGGGGTACTATAAAGATCTACAGTCTCAGTCTCCCACAGGCTGGCAGGGAATCATGTGCTCCCAACATCTCTGTGCTCCCAATACCATGCAGCATAACCTCAGGTCGTCAGGATGCTATTTATAATGCCTGAGGGAGGGGAGCCCTGATGTAAGGGAGTGGTGCCATTTGGGAAAGCTTGGGGTGGAGCCCTTGTGGAGTACTCTTCTGCTCTAAGAGCTCGCATGGTTGGGTCTCCATCCCTGTGACCAAGGCCAAAGGCAAACTATTTTCATTTCCTTGAGCCTCAGTTTCTTGGCTGCAGAGTCTCAGACTAGTTCCACCTTCTGGGCTACACGTTAATGAAGTGAGCCGATGCAGGTGCAAAAAGGACTTTCTGGTGTGTGTGCCAGGGCACGTGGTCAGCCATGGGCGAGCCCCAGCCCTCCCCCTCACAACCACCCATCTGGGGAGCACCCACCTAGTCTGCGGCGGGTGGCTCGTGCGCCCAGAACACCGAGCAGCAGCAGCACCTTGAGGCCCAGCGAGCCCAGCAGGAGCACTACGGAGGAGGCCCCCGTGGTGCCTCGGAAACGGAACAAGTAGACGCTGGCCTCGGCGTGGCCCAGGCTGTTGGCTGCCGTGCAGGTGTAGCGGCCGTCGCGGGTCAGCGCTGGCAGCTCAGCGGTCACCTGGGATCCGTGACCTTGACCCTGCCCAGCGGCTGAGCTGTTGTCTAGGGCGGGGCCAGACCAGGCGAGGACAGGCGGGGGCTCCCCTTCAGCTGTGCAGAGCGCGCGGAAGGTGTGCGCTGGACCCGGCAGCACTGAGATGTTGACGATCCGCGGTGAGGCTGCTGGGAAGAAAGCAGGCGCCGAGCACCCGGCAGAAGTCAAAGCATGGGAGCAGAGGCAAAGAGAGCCCTCCCCAGCTGGAGCAGTGAGATGGGGTGCTCAGACTGCCTGAGTCCTAATGCAGCTGTGGCCTTGGGCGAGCTAGTCCACTTCTCTGCCTCAGTTTCTCCAAGTGCAAAATGGGCTCACAATTGCTCTTACTTATGGGGTTAATGAGGAGATCTGGCAAACTAATACTCGTGCTTGGATTACCTGCATTAATAGCATGTGCTCACTAAACGGTCACTGCGCAAGGTGGAGGCCGGAGGACGCTGCTCTGGGGGTGAGAGATTGTGCGCCTCTGGGAGGGGGCTGCAGTGCAGGTGGCACACGTCCGACGGCATCCCTTGCCACATTTAAGACTTATCACTTATTGCTTTTTCTCTCCTTCCTTGCCAGCTATTGGTGACAACGCCTGCTGCCAGCCCCTCCTGGGACCAGAATTCTGCATTTCTACCAAGTTCCCAGAGGAGAGGGGTGGTTCCTGTGGCCTTCCTGACACTCTTGGTACAAGGATGCTGGGAAGCTGGGACCCACGGCCAGTTTGGCCGCCAGCTCTCCTCACCAGTCACCCGCAGCCAGACCCCGTGGCGGCTCTCGTAGCGGTCGTGGACGTCCCCGGCGAACTCCACGCGGCAGAAGTAGCGGCCGCTGTCGGCCAGCGCGAGGCGCTCGATGCGCACCGACAGGTCATTGCGACGGGGATTGCCCAGCAGGCGGAAGTGACCGTGCAGGCTCAGCGCGGTCTGGCACAGCTCGCTGCCCCGTGCCACGGCACAGCGGAACACCTGCGGGCCGGCGAACGGCTCGCCAGTGCGCCAGATGGCGGTCAGCGGCCCGTCGTAGTGGCGGTGCGGGTGGGTGAAGGTGCAAGGCAGCACCGCTGCGTCGCCCGCCACCGCGTTCACCTCCGCCGGCACCTGCATGGACCAGCGCTGCGCGGGAGCACCTGCGGGCCCGGGGCGTATCAGGCCTAGCCTTTGGACCTGGTCTCCAGACCTCCCAGGGCATCCCATCTCCCAGGAGCCCTGGAGGCTCAGGCAGCGCCTCCAGGAAGGGCTGGGACTCCATTTTCTAACTGGAGAGGGATCTCCCTAGGTCTGCTCTTCTCTGATGTAGGACAAGGGGACCCAATGAAGGGTCCCGGCCCCTGACCTTTCTCTGAGGGTTGTTTGCCTCATTCCTAGTTTGTGGCCTAGTGACCCACATTCTTTCCCTTAGCTTTTTCTAATCAGCAATCTGTCCAGTTACAAGATCCCAGAGAAGGTGATAAAATCACTTACTGTGAGCCTCTGTGTTGCGCAAATCCCCAAAAGCATCTCTTCTAGTTTTCACAAGGGATCCTGGAGAGAAACAGAGATAGCTTCTTTTACGTGCTAATAAACTGAGGCACAGAGAAGTTAGATAACTGAGGTCACACAGCTAGGCTGAGGCAAAGCCTCACTCCACCACCTGCTAAGTTGTAGTATGCTAGGGGCATGCAGCCATGATTCATCTGAGGACACTAACAGCTGCATTTATAGAGGAGAAATGGAGGTCCCTGGAGGGCACAGTGCTTTGAAGCTCATGTGTTGAGTCAGTGGGAAAGAATCCAGGTCAATCCAAGTGGACTGTTACCTGATCAACTTCTTACAAGGCCAGTGCCTAGGCAGGGAGTTGAAAGACCAGAGTAGTGGGTGCTGTGCTGTCTCCTTGCTCTGTGAAGTTCTCTCTGGACTTAATCTCCCCATCTCCCACCATATGAACCACTGATGGATGTTGAATCAAGGGCTGGAAGCTGAGCTCCTCTACCAGCTCACCCAGTCCTGGCAAGCCACAGGGCCCTGTGTTGCTGCCGCTTTGAGGGTGCAGGTAATCACCCTCAGAAGGTCAGGCCAGGGGTGATGCCTCCCCAAGAGAAGACAGGCTGTTGAGACTGCCCAGCCAGTGCCCTGTGGCACTGTGCACCAAAGGGACCTTTAGAGGGAATAATACGCATTGCAATACACACACAGCTCATTCATGAGGAAAAGGCAGGGTAGGTATTGACATAGATGAGAAAATGAAGGCCCAAGGACAGATAAGTACGAAGAGAGAGAAAGCCAGTTTTTCTGAAGGTAAGCCCAGTGCTATTTGAGGTAAATTAGCCCAGCTGGCCCCTTGGGTAGGCATGCCCTCAGGCTACCACTGACAGCCTCTCTCCCATGATGCGCATCCACTTGTGGATGGATAGGAACAGCTCAGGACACTCCTGCACAGAACCACTCCCGGAACTGCCATTAGGGGAGCATGCATGTTCTCTGTCCTGTGGTGGCTACTCTTGGGTTTTCTTTTTCTGTCAGGATAGTCCCAGTCTCTCATCTGTCCCTCCTCATCTTTCCTTTCAGTGTCGTGTCCTGACTCAGGTGGCTCTTGCATGCTGCATTTGCAGAGTGGTATGAGTTCCTTAGTGCACTTTGGGCTGGGGGTGCTTCATCTCCAGTTGAATCCTGCTGTGGGTGTATACCCAGCTGAGCACCAAGTAAGGCCACGGTTCTGTTTTTCATAACACCTGTTTTTAGGCTAAATTTTTTGTTGTTGTTGTTCTGGACAAGTGAAATTACAGTTTTGTATCCAGGTGGAGGGTTTGACATTTATCCATATTAAGAGTTGTTAATCATCAAGGGCTGCTTTCCAAATATGAGAAACCCTGTCTGAAGGCTGTGCTGGTCCAGTCAGTACTAACAGCTGAAGAAAGTGTTTTCACGGTTCTTCTTTTTCTCTCTCCCCTTTCCTCCCTCCCTCCCTCCCTCCCTCCC